CTGAGGCTGAGGCCGAGGCTGAAGGCAGACTGAGGCTGAGGCTGATGCAGGCTGAGGCTGAGGCTGAGGCAGGCTGAGGCTGAGGCAGGCTGAGGCTGAGGCCGAGACTGAAGGCAGACTGAGGCTGAGGCTGAAGCAGGCCTGAGGTTTGAGGCTGAGGCTGAGGCAGGCTGAGCTGGCTGAGGCTGATGCTGATGCTGAGTGCTGGATGCTGAGGCATGCCTCAGGCTGAAGGCTGGGCAGGCTGAGGCTGAGGCCGGAGCTAAGCAGACTGAGGCAGAGGTGAAGCAGGCTCTGAGGCTGAGGTCGTGATGCAGGCTGACTGCTGATCAGGGCTGAGGCTGAGGCTGAGGCTCATGCAGGCTGAGGCCTGAGAGAGGCAGGAGGAGCTGAGGCCGAGGCTGAAGGCAGACTGAGGCTGAGGCTGAAGCAGACTGAGGCTGAGGCTGAGGCAGGCTGAGGCTGAGGCTGAAGCAGGCTGATGCTGAGGCAGGCTGAGGCTGAGGCTGAGGCTGATGCAGGCTTAGGCTGAGGCAGGCTGAGGCTGAGGCCGAGGCTGAAGGCAGACTGAGGCTGAGGCTGAAGCAGGCTGCGGCTGAGGCTGAGGCAGGCTGAGGCTGAGGCAGGCTGAGGCTGAGGCTGAGGCAGGCTGAGGCTGAGGCAGGCTGAGGCTGAGGCTGAGGCTGAGGCAGGCTGAGGCTGAGGCAGGCTGAGGCTGAGGCCGAGGCTGCGGGCAGACTGAGGCTGAGGCTGAAGCAGGCTGAGGCTGAGGCTGAGGCAGGCTGAGGCTGAGGCTGAGGCTGGGGCAGGCTGAGCTGAGGCAGGCTGAGGCTGAGGCTGAGGCTGAGGCAGGCTGAGGCTGAGGCCGAGGCCGACGGCAGACTGAGGCTGAGGCTGAAGCAGGCTGAGGCTGAGGCAGAGGCAGGCTGAGGCTGAGGCTGAGGCTGAGGCAGGCTGATGCTGAGGCAGGCTGAGGCTGAGGCTGAGGCTGATGCAGGCTGAGGCTGAGGCAGGCTGAGGCTGAGGCCGAGGCTGAAGGCAGACTGAGGCTGAGGCTGAAGCAGGCTGAGGCTGAGGCTGAGGCAGGCTGAGGCTGAGGCTGAGGCTGAGGCTGAGGCTGAGGCTGAGGCTGAGGCTGAGGCTGTGACTGCGACTGCCGTTGCCGCTGCGACTGTCATCGCGAATGCGACTACGACTGCGAGAACTGCAGAATTCTACAACTGGGTTCTCATTTGAATCTTAAGGGGAATGCTTCCAGATATGCTCCTACACATCGCTGTTAGGTTGCTTTGCCGGGACAATTCTACTGCCCCATTGACCCGGATTAGGGCGGATCCGGGCCCAGACTGATACAGACAAAGCGCGATTCAGACGGACTAAGTGGGACCAAGAGGGACCATGGGGGAGGGAGCCAGACCCAGCGGTACTACACCAGATTCGGCCAGTTTACGACCAGGGACGGGCCAGCGCTGATTCTGAAGTTAACCTCCCAGAAGTTACACCCTAAAGAACGGGGGGGGCGGGGGGAGTTTATGGATCGCGAGGCCAATAAAATATGACGCCTGCCAGCCAAAGGCGGCACAGAACCATCGGAAAATCAGCTTAAAACTATAACGTCTGCACGGGCGCCAAGACAGGTTCCCAAGGACTGGAGCGCCACAGCGCAGCGCACTGCGACACGGCACGAGGATGTTGCGGAACGAAAACATGATGGCAGGGAGGGGCAAAGCAGCAGCAATAGCAGGCGCCGGCAGCCGATGACCTGTGGTGGAGCCCCAGCTCGCAGTCGTGCCGCCCACCGCATCGGGCTCAGCAAGGGATACGGGGAGGAGGGATGGAGAAGGGGGGTTGACGATCGGGGCGGACGGGGAGGCGAGAGGGAGGACAACATGACGATCGGTGGGAGGCTGGGTGGGGCGAAGATGACAATCGGGGCGAGCGAAAAGTGGGGGAACTCTAGGGGCAGGATAGCGACTCAGCTCGCGCAGCAGTTGTCGTGCCCCCCCTTGCCCAATCCCACCGCGCCGTTCCCGAGACGAGGGGGGGAGGAGGGAGGGGTAGCAAGACAAGCGAAGACGAGACTGCCTGAATACATGCATAATTTACTAATACATCATTGCAGAATTTCATCATTGATTTTAATATTGAATTCCTTTATTCTTAATACATGTTCCGCACGCGGAGCATGTATTAAAACCAGCACTGTAGCAAGCATGACACTTGGGCCTCCTAAGGGTTCGGCACAGGATTTCACACGGGCCCGATCGCGCCGTGGTGTGCTGGACCTCTCGGGCCTGCTTCAGGGCCTGCTTTCGGGGCTGCGCGTGTCTTCTCGGACCCCGTGATCGCCGCGATCTAGCAGGCATTGCACTTGCCAGGGCCGCGCTAACGGCGATGTTGGTTAACGGCGATGTGGGGAATATGATGTTTGTGACACCGAGTTCGCGCAGAACAAATTGTAGGAAATCTCGAACCACACTTTGCTACATTTAGAATGTGCGAATATATCGAGCGAAAACGACACAGCGAATTGTAGGGAAACGCGAACCGCGCGTTCCTACAGTTGGTTTGGCCACGAGCCACGCATTCCTGCAATTGGTTTTCTTGCTTCGCCGTTAGCTAACACACCGTTAGCGAGTTTACAAACTTGGGCCCCAAAAAGAGGTGTCGACAATGGGTGCTGCACGGGCCCGGTCGCGTCCAGATGGCCAGGGCACCTCACGTAAAACAGGTGTGTGTGTGTGGGTGCGTTGGGCATGGGCGTGCCTCTTGTCAGAGCCCCATGGCCGCCGCGATGCGGCAGGCATGGCAGTTTGAGCCACTCAAGGGTTTCTTGGCCTCGACTGGGGGCCCACCGCTGAGCGCAGCTGGCTGGCAGCGCGGGGCCTGCCAGCATGCTGCGCTGCGGGAGGACAAAAGGCGCCGAAGGCTGTGTCGCGAGCGACCGACCGCCCAGGCCGCACACGCGGAGCCAGGAGCCCGGACGAGCGATGGCTGCTCGGGGGGCGGCAGGGCGCAGGCTGGCACTGCGCCAGCCAGAAAAGCCCAGCAGCCGCGGCACGAGTGGCCAAGCCAGCTGGTCTGGAGACCGCCGCTGGAGGCTGCCGCCCGTGTCGTGCCCACCTCGCCACAAGCAGGGCCCAAGGCCAGCTGCCCGAGGTCCGCGCGGCCAGAACGACAGCCAGCAGGCGGAGGACACTGCCCATGCAGACCCTCGGCTCGGACAACGCGGCGTCCGCACGGCTCCGCGAGGCGAGCCGGCCGATCGCACATCGAAAGGGCCCAATCGAATTCGCAGCTTGCATTAGCGGCAGCGCAGACGCAAGGAGCCAACAAAAAGCCCGGCACAGACGAGGGCCACGAGAGGTGAACCTACATGCACGCAGCCGTAGAACGCTGGCCAACCCAATTGGAGTCCTTTTCCGTTGCTGTATCTATGCAGCGTAACCCGAGGGCGTTTGTCCTCCTCCTCTCGGAGGCCTCGCGCCACTGGACAGTGGAGAGCCTGCACAGTGGAACCTGAAGAGGACGCGGCAGCGCTGCACACTTGACTTCCACCCTCCTGACCGACACGGTCCCGACCTCCCCCCCCGCCTCGGATCGGAGCTGCGCCGCGACTCGGTGCACCGTAGTAGACCAGTTCGCCCCAAGAGTACTGAAACCTCTCAAGCGGAACGCTAGTGAGTCGATGTATGCGCTTCCCCTCTCAGAGCCTCATGATCACCGCGACGTAGCAGGTATCGCACTTCGGCCTCACAACGGGGTGCCGACCAAGGGAGTTGCACGGGCCCGTCCATGCCAGGGACGTTTCCGAGAGAACACGTGCTCCTGTTGGGGGGGAGGCGATGGCATGGCGCTGCAGAGGTGGCAGGCATCCATTGCGGGGCGACGGGTATGCAGATTGGCATGGCGCGGCATTCGTATTGCGATGACATGGCATCACAGACTGGGAGGACACGTTCCCTCCTGCTGGGGAGGGGGCGACCATGGTGCCGCTCCGGCGCCCCCGTGGTCGTGGCGCTGTGGCAGGCACCCCACTGGCGCAGACATCCCCAAAAATGGGTGCCGACCAGGGGCAAGGGGCCGCTCCACAGGCCCGCTCGTGGCCAGCCTGCCGGGGGCCCCTCCGCTACAGCATGGCCCCCTGGAGGGGGGGGGGCCAAACGAGCGCCGACTCCCCCGCCCACGCAGCCACTCGTTCCGAGCCGCGGATGTTGCCATCAGCGGACGCTGGAGCGAGACCTCCAACCTGCATCCCCGTGCAGCTTGATCGGAGGCGTGGGCTGGGTCCTCCGCGTGTCACACTCACACTCTTGCCTGCCCAGACCCACTGATGCTCACACCCACGCGAGCTCACCCAGGCCCACTCCACACCCAAACTCACTCGTGGACAGGTTCCCTTGCACAACTGAACCACCCATGCCCGAACCGGCGCATAACCAAACGCACTACCCGTATGTAACCACTCATGCTCGAAATGGTGACTGACGCATCCACAGACCCACAAAGCCCGCTGCAAAAAAACTGATGCCCCAAGAGTGCACAGACCCACAAAGCCCGCTGCAAAAAAACTGATGCCCCAAGAGTGGGCAAAAGGGGAACGATCCTCGCTTTCACCGGCTTCCGCCGGCGCTTCCGCTAGCAACTCCTGCCAGCTTCCGCCGACGGAGGCACGTCAACTCACTCGATGCTTCTGGTCATGCGAGACAAGAACTCATTCAAACAATCTGATAATAAGAAGCATGTTCGAGAAAACCAAGATCGCCAAAGCCGCGTCTCTCGACACCATACTAATCATAGCCATAACAAGCAACAAGAACTGAAACGCCGGCTGGCCGAGGGGGGGAGACTGATAAGTCCCTCGCCGCCGGGGGCGCTGTCCCCACCTCCTCACAGAGGCCAGGGGGGGGGGGGTCTTTCCTCCATCACTCCTGGGCTCACGTTACGAAGCCCTCTCTGGACCGTTCCACACCAGCATGATGCGCGCACGCCCGGCTCTCTTAATTCGGCCCGCCGAGGACCGAGAAGCCCGCGGGCGCGGCCGCGGGGGCCGCCACTGGCACCGACACGGGCGCCGGCGCGGGCACCTGCCGGGGAGCGCACGCGTGCGCCAGGGGCAGCCGTGGCCCGGGAGAGCAGAATGGATTGTGCTCTCTGTGCGTGGAGAAGACGGGAGCGGACCGCAGGTCGCATGGCCGACTCCAGACACCCTGAGACCAACAATAGGGTCATCTCTTGGGGGCGCATTTGTTGCTCCCGCTGGCTTCCGCCCGCCCTCCGCCGGCTTCAGCCGACGGAGGCGGTCCCGGTTTACCTCCGCGGGCTTCCGCCACGCACCACAAGCTATCTCCGCCTGCCGCACCAGAGAAGAATAGGCTTTACACCGGGGGCAGGCATTGAGTCAACAGCTCTGGGGGTACACATACAATCAATGGCCAGGAGTGACAAAGGAAGAGATGAAGCGGCTAGTAGGAGGTCCTCGTAAGAAAGACTCGTGTCTAGCAAGCCCGATGACATGGTCACCAGGCGAGAAGCTAGAAAGGACTGCCTTCCACACACGCTTGCCCTGAGCACGACAGCCGCCATGGCTGAGTACACTCCATTGTCGGCGTATGCTCTTATATCAATATCTTTGTGCCAATGCACATATGTCTATATACATATATATGTACATACATGCACACATACATACATACATACATACATACATACAAACATACGTACGTACATACATACATACAAACCAACAAACAAACAAACACACAACCAACCAAACAAACAAACACACTTACATACTTACATGCATACATACATACATACATGCATACATACATACATACATACATGCACGAATCTATGATATGCCACACCTTCGAGCCGCGCGCTCACCAAGCATCCAAGGAGCGACGTCGACCGAGGCCTGGGCTTGGGTCGGGCGTGCCCCCCTACAGGCGGGTGCTGAACGAACGAATTATCCCAGTGCGACCCTACCTAGGAGTTGGAACCCCCAGGAAAGCAGCATTAGTGGTAACAGTAACGCTAAGCTAAAGCTAAGCTAAAGCTAAGCTAAAGCTAAGCTAAAGCTAAGCCACAGCTAAGCTAAAGTTAAGCTAAAGCTAAGCTAAAGCTAAGCTAAAGCTGAGCAGCAGCTAAGCTAAAGCTAAGCTGCAGCTAAGCTAAAGCTAAGCTACATCTACGCTAAAGCTACGCGAAAGCTAAGCTAAAGCTACGCGAAAGCTAAGCTAAAGCTAAGCTACAGCTAAGCTCAAGCTGAGCTAACGCTAAGCTAAAGCTACGCTAAACGCTGAGCGAAAAGCTAAGCGAAACGCTAAGCTAAAGCTAAGCTACAGCTAAGCTAAAGCTAAAGCTAAAGCTAAAGCTAAAGCTAAAGCTAAAGCTCCCAGGGGACTGGGGGGGGGGAACCGCGGGGCGGGGACTGGGGGAACCGCCCGGGGCGCTTTACACTGCCCGGCCCCTTTAAGCTAAGAGAGTAAGAACCCTTCTAGGCAGAGCCTAGGTAGGGAAAAAAACACAAATGCACAAACATGCCAAAAGCGATACCAAAAGATAGTCCCCGGACTGTTTCTTGACTACGGTGGGGGCCAGTCCACAAGAAACCTCCCACAAGAAGCCCAACCCTGAGACCACAGGACGTCCATCCATTTCTGGTGTGGGAACGCCACGCTCTCCATGGCAAAACCATCGAAACCTACGAGACCCAGGGCACCCTGGAGGCGAGCAGGGTGTTTCTTGGCCTCAAAGGTGGGGCCCACACCGAATCAAGACAGGATGGATGCTGTTCCTCAACACCTGTCAACCCACGGACCTCCTGCCAAAAAGTCACTGGGGGTCAGCGCTGGTCACCCCTCGTGGGTTGAGCCAGAACACTATGTATGAGCAGGGCGGGTATTGCCACCACGACGCTCCACCTCCACCACCACGACGCTCCACCTCCAGGGTGCTTCTTGACATGGGCCTCTCCACTGTCTTTGGGGATCTGCCTCCTGCAGAGGGGGCCAGGCCCGACTCCCGCCGTGGGCGGAGGCAGGCGCGGAGGGGATAGGGGGCGCCCACGCGGCGGGCCCCGCGCCTCCTTCCCTCCTGCCCCCCCCCCCCCCATCCTTCCTTCCCTCCGTCCCTCCCACGCCTCCTTCCCTCCCTCCCTCCTTCCCTCCTTCCCTCCCTCCCTCCTTCCCTCCTTCCCTCCTTTCCTCCTCCTTCCCTCCTTTCCTCCTTCCCTTCCCTCCCTCCCTCCTTCCTTCCCACGCCTCCTTCCCCCCGCCCCCTCCGGAGGCGCCCGCCTCCAGGAATCGGGGGGCGGCGTGAGGCTCGGGCCGGGGAAGCCCGGGCTGGCCTCGAGTCGGGCCCGCCCGCCTACAGGGTGGTCTTGGACGGAGAATTGAAGGTAATAAAAAGAACAGAAATGGTCAACAAATGCTGAGAACAAGTCCCCAGACCATTCTTGGACTATGTTTGAATCCTCCCCCCGTAGAAAAAAACAATAATGGTCAACAAATGCTAAGAACAAGTCCCCAGTCTATTCTTGGACTATGTTTGAATTCATCCTCCTCCTCCTCCTCCCGTAGAGAGAGAGGCCCCACTGCAGACTTGGGTTCGGGACGCTCGGTTTGGCCTCACGGGGCCATCACGAAAACGACGAGACCCCGTCTGAGACTTGGCGCGAACTCCCGCTGCAAGCATCCCGCGAAGACGGACCGCCAAAGTCCAGGACGCGCTCGTTAGAAACCTTCCGCGAACCCGAGTTCCGGCGCACTCGAGCCTTACGTTTCCCCGAAAGAAGGGCACTCAAAGCTGAACCTCGCGCCACCTCTTTGCGGGCACCGCCAAACCTTAGAGAGCCTGCTGGCCTGGAGGATGTATCGTCGTGTCGTCTGCATCCACGCCCTCGCGGGCCGGCCTGATGGCCGCGACCCTATGGATACGCGGAATCGTTTCACGGATGCCCCGCGCGAAACATGTACGTGCGGCCACGTGTCCACGGGATCGCGCCCGAGGGGGTGGATGTGGATATGTTCGCCGCTCGTGATATCAAAAGCCGCGGCCGCCGTTCCTATGTGTCCCGGGACGCTCCGAGAGCGTCCTGGAACGCTCTGGAGAGATATGATTAGTATCGCTGGACTACCTGAAGACCCCCAGAGGCTTTCGCGAAGGCCAGAGAAGGGTCAAGGCGCAGAAACACGGATCCACTGTCTTCGGGGGCGTCTGGGAGGGGGGCGTGGGAGAGGGGGGGGGGCCACACGATGGCCCGAGGCATGAGCGCGGAAAAGGGGGCACGAGGGAAAATCTTGAAAGTAGACTGGGGGGCATGGCATCTGGGAGGCGTCATGGCGCCCGCCATGATCTCCCCCCCCCCCCCCCGCAGTTCTCACCCCCTTCTTCCTGGACGCCCCCGAGATTTTCGTCCAGCCCGCCTGCCACAGCGCCGACCTCAGAACTTTCTCCCAACGTGGAGCCCGCGACATGGCGGCGTCTTAACCCTACCAGCTTGCAATCCTGAGTCAGGGATTCTCAGTGGGGATTCCTGCGCTTCAAGCTTCGGGACTTGTTCAAAGAAGACGCGTTTCGCCCCTAGACGGCTGCGGCTGCAGAACGCTAAGTGCGAAGGGCTGCTTGACATGGACATGCCAATGCATGCGAGGACCACAGCGGACAAATGTGCCAGCCCAATCTCCCTCGCGGCAGGTGAGGCGGTCTTGGGCCCATCAGGGCCAACACAGGCCGAGCATGCCCCAAAACCGTCGGTTCGATCTTTCGCGCCGCGAAGGGGGGGCTCTGGATCGGAGGTGCCACGTCGCCCCCGAGCCAAGCTCCCACGGAAGCCCAAACAATGGGAGAAAGCCTCGACCCTCAACCGGCAGAGGAGGAGGAGGAGGAGAGGAGGAGGAGGAGGAGGGGAGGAGGAGGGAGGAGGGGGAGGAGGAGAGGAGGAGGAGGAGGAGGAGGAGGAGGAGGAGCGTCGATGCAGCGCCCACGGCACCGCGGCAGACCACGGCGGCGCCAGCGGGGCCGTGCCAAAGCACGAGCCGTCGGGACAGAACCACGGCGAGACGGGCTCGTACGCCACCGGGAAGCTGGACGGCGCCGGCGACGCGGCGGGGCTAGCGGCGGGTGCCGCGGCCCGCACGTGCGACGAGGACCTCGCGCAGGGCCAAGAAGCCTCGCCCCGTCTTCCTCGACCCCACGGGGCCCCCGGGCGCCTACTTCTCCTCCTCCTCCTCCTCCCTCCTCCTCCCTCCTCCTCCTCCTCCTCCCTCCTCCTCCCTCCTCCTCCTCCTCCTCGTCCTCCTCGTCCTCCTCCTCCTCCTCCTCCTCCTCCTCGTCCTCCTCGTCCTCCTCGTCCTCCTCGTCCTCCTCGTCCTCCTCGTCCTCCTCGTCCTCCTCGTCCTCCTCGTCCTCGCTGACACAAGAAGCTGCTAAGTATGGTGCGTTTCGCGAGGCGCACCCGTTGTGCCCGATCCCCAGGGTCGTCTCCAGGGGCCTCTATAGGGGCCTGCTGCCAGGCCTCGGAGCGGTGCTAAGAGTCTCCTTGAGCTGAGGATCGTGTGCAACCTTGACGACGCGGGGGCAGAGCAAGGCCCCCTCCATGTTAGGATGTATCCCGAGCGATCTCCGCACATTGCCAGGAAAACTGCGCAAGCAGAAACCTTAAGAGTTCCGCGCGAACGTCTTGGGTCGTGGCTTGCACCACCCCCCTTACACTTGAGCGCCTCTGGCGCCACCCCTGGCACCCTTCGTGCGCCAGGGTGGGGAGCGGGTCAAACGCCGACCCAAGAAGTTCAAGAAGGCCTCTGGAACGTTGACGCCTTTGTTTGCTCATCGAAACCAGGCCTACACAGGTCACCAACGTCCCGCGAAGCATGAGGAGGTCGTATCGCAACTTCTGGCGCCTGGGGCCGCCCTCGGGCGACGTGACCGCACAACTTGCTCCCAGAAGGCTTCGCGAGCTTGGGAGAACACACTGTTTTTTTGATCCGCAGGTCGAGAGCGCACCTCTTCCGGTCGAAACTAAGCGGGCCGCGCACAGCTTGAATCAACAAATGGAGGGGGAGGAAGGAGGGGCCTCACGTCAAGGCCAAGAGGGGGCAAAGCCCCGGGATCAGGCGGTGCCGACAACGACGTGCTCGCGAAGGAACGACTTGGACAGGAACCCGGCGGGAGCTTGGGAGAACACACGCTCAAACGATTCAGACGTCAGATGCTTTTACCCTTGTTCTCCCGTCTCCCCCCTCCGCCCCACTCCCTGCCCCCTTCGAGTTTATTGAAACGCCGCGCCCGCGACACTCCAGAGTCACGCCCTCCCTCCCTCTCTCTCTCTATCTCTCTCTCTCTGTGGACGTCCTCACGATGTACTTGGGAACCGGGCTATCGCTCGAAGCTTCCCTTTGATTCGTGAAGGACTCGCGCTTCAACCACCCGCCCGCTCGACCCGGCCGTCCGGGGCCGCCCGCCCGCCCCGCCCGTTGGGGTCCGCGAGCCCGACCCTCACGTCTGATTCTGCCGCACGTGTTCCTCCGTCGCAGCCTCATCCTGCTCATCTTTCTCGTGCTTCATGTGTGTGTGTCCTGCCCCGTTGCTTCTTCCCTCCTCTCGCCCCTCCTCTGTTTCAGGGGCTGCGCCAGATATACACGTGGCAGGTGAGGAAGATAGAATGACCCCCAAGCGGGGGCACAATCGAAGACGAAAGGGGCGGGAATCGAGGGCTCGGGAGACACAAGTTGAGTGACACGCCTGAGAGCGAGCAATCGTGACAGTACAGTTGTTGTTGTTGATGTTGCTGTTGTTCTTGAACTCTCGTCTCTGAAGAATGATCGTTGATCCCCTCCCCTCCGGTTGCGCCTCTAGGCGTTCGCACCATGTTCTCTACAATGCAAATGCTGAGCCTCAGAATGCGTTGCTGGTCCCGAACTGCCACAACAACGGCTTCCGCCGGATAGTTCCTCACAGTGAATTCCAAATCGCGATGTCGCGCAGGATTCCTTTACAATCTTTCTAGGGACCGCGCTCTCGCGAGGGACTCTCTTCCAGACTAGTGAAACGCCGCGCCCTCGACACTCAGAAATCTCGGTCTCGCTCAGGACTTCCTCATAATATATCTGCGCATCGCGCTATCACTCAAAGCCTCCTCGCGATCCGTGCAAGACTGATGCTCAACGGCCCACCCGCTCGACCCGGCCGTCTGTGCCCGCCCGACCCAGCCCGACTGGTGGTCGGCCCGCCCGACCCGCCGGTCTGGTTCTGCCGTTGGATTTCCTGCTCTTGATCCCCGTCCTACAAAAATCTCTCTCGGGCTCCATCTTTCTGCCTCCCCGTCGTCCTTGCCCTCTCCATGGTTCAAGGGCTGCGCCGAGCACACGTAGCAAGTTTACTGAAGGGGCCCTGGGACACACAAATTCGCCGGCCCAACGGGCCAGAGGCGTGCTAAGATCTTCGGTAACTGGTTCACAATTCTTCTAGTTCGGGCGCGCGGGGCGGCCCCTGGTGGTCCCCCGGCGAAAAGAACCCCGACCGCAGCCCAGGAAGGTCCCGGGAAGGTCTACTCAGAGATGGTTTTCCTCCTGGGTACGGCCTCTCGGGCCCCCCAGAGCGCGCCAAGAGGGCCCCAAGAGGCCCCCAAGACTGCCCAAGAGGCCCCCGAGACGCCCAAAGGACGCTCCAAGACGCCGAAGATGATCCCAAGACGGCCCAAGAAGCCGCCAAGACGCTCCAAGTGGCCTCCAAGAGGCCTCACAAGAGCGCCCCGAGAGGCCCAAAACATTAATTTTACGATGGTTTTGGAAGGATTTTGGCCATGTCGCATTTTCGGCTTTCCGATGCTCCAGGACGGCCCAAGAGGCCCCCAAGAGCGCACGAAGACGGCTCAAGAGGCCCACAGGAAGGCCCCCAGAGAGCCCAAACGGGCCCCGAGACGGCACAAGAGACGCCCAAGACGGCCCAAGAGAGCCCCAAGACGGCCCCAGAGGGGGACCACGAACCGAAACCTCAAGCCTTCCGCCCCAAGAGGGCCCCAGGAGGCCCCGAGAGGCCCCCAAGATGGCTCAAGATGCCGCCAAGAGGCCCCCAAGAGACCCCAGGAGGCTCCAAGGAGGCTCAAAAGAGGCCCTACAAGGCTTCAAAAATGTCTCCCAGGCGCCCCCGAACGGCCTCTCAACAGACCCCAGGGCCTCCCAAAGAAGCATCTGGACGACGGCCCTGTTTGGCCCCAAGAGCGCCGCAAGATGCCATCGAGAGGCTTCCTCCTCCGCCCTTTTTTCTCTCCCTCCTCCTCCTCATATTTATCTTCATCCTCCTCCGTTCCTTCTCATCCTCTTCTCCTCCTCCCCTCCCCCTCCCCATCCTCATCTTCCTCCTTCCGGCGATGGTGCCGAGCCCGCGCCGAAGCAGTAGCGATCATGCAATACGGGCCGGCGGAGTGAGCGAAGCGATTGAATAAATACACACAAATAACCGGATCCCCTATAGTTTCCTACATTTTCTGGGCTTCTGTCTTTTCACCCACTTCCCATATTTTCCTATATTTCTGGGGAATGGACGATTAATTGTGTCTGTGTGATTTTTCCCCTCCTGATTTCCTTCCAGACGAAATCCTTGGGGATCGCGCTGTCGCTCGAGACTCCCTCGCGGCTCCCGCGGGACCGCCGCGCCCGCGCTCTGTCCGCTATCGACCGGGCCGGCGAGGCCCGCCCTCCCGGCCCGCCCGCGGGGGGTGTCCGCCCGCCCGGCCCGCCCGTCCGGAGCTGCCGCTTGCCTTCGGGTCCTGGCCCCCCTCCTGCGAATCTCGCTCCTGGTGAGGGGAACGAACAATGACATAAACATCACAACTCGGAGGTCCGCGCGGATTTCTCGGATCCGCGCTGGGGCCCCCTGGCGCGCTCCGCGCTGCAGGGAGGGGGGTCCAGCGCGGATCCAAGAAATCCGCGCGGACCTCCGAGTTTTCATGTTTATGTCATTTTTCGCTCCCCTACTGGTGGATCCTCCTCCGTCCCGATGCTCCTGGAGGGCTGGAAATCCACCCCGATCATAAACACCTCCTGCGAATCTCGCTCCCGGTGGATCCTTCTCCGTCCCGGTGTTCCGAGGGAGGGCTGGACATCCACCCCGATAAGAAACGCACCCCGACGACGCAACCGCTGAGCGAAACGGCACCCGACGAAGGAATCGAACAAGAGAAAGCGCTGTTTGGTAGACGCACGGGGCTGTTTAGCAAACGCCGATTATGGGGGTCGGGGCGGATTTGTCCTCGTTGCAGTCCATCCTCCTCGTGTTCGCCTGCGGTGGGCTGCGCCAACCACACCCGGCAGGCAAGGTGTACCCCCAGGGTGGGGCACAGTGGAAGACGAAGGTGGCGGGTGTTGAGGGCTGGGGATATATGTATTGACTGGCAAACGAGCGAATCATAGCGAACAGTCTTTCAATCATACAGGCTAGTTGTTGTTTCCCCGAGTGCCCATTCTGTTTTTTGCAATGAAAACGATATTCCTGGAGCTCGCACACTGTTTTCCTACAGAAGAAAGTGCTGCGGTTCATATTGGGCTGCCGACCACGGATACCTCCCCAAATGTATTTCTTCAAACTCGCGCTCTCTCGCGGGACTTCCTCAGCATGTATGCAAGAATCGCGCTCTCCCGTAGCAGTTTCTCACCATGTATTGCGGCGCCGTGCTCCCAACACTCAGGAATCACGCTCTCGCTCTGGATTTCCTCTGATATACTGGCGGATTTGCTACATTTCTGAAAGTCGGTGCCACCCCTCACGCAGATCCGCGGGGTCAGGGTCCAAAAACACAGGGGATTTGCCACATGTCTCAAATTCGGTGCCACCCCTCACGCAGATCCGCGGGGTCAGGGTCCAAAAACATAAGGGATTTACCACATGTCTGAAATTCGGTGCCACCCCTCACGCAGATCCGCGGGGTCATGGTCCAAAAACACAAGGGATTTGCCACATTTCTGAAATTCGGTGCCACCCCTCACGCACATCCATCGCAAGGCGTGGTAACCCAAACTGCGAGAACTCCCTCGGCCCTTTAATTGCAAGGTGTGGTAACCAAGCCCGTAAACCATACACGTCTTACCAATCGCCAGGTGTGGTAACCCCTCTTGTGATCAGTTGGTTTTGCTGATTGCGAATCGGCTTCGCATGAAGTTTCGATACTGCTTCACGACAGCGCCAAGGCCTCATGACTTAGCTCTTCCATGGCCCATTCTCCGAGAGAGGGGGCGGGCGGCAGGGGGCGAAGCCCTTACGGATGATTGTTGATGCCCCCCCTCTGGTAACCATTGCATTTACAGTGACAGTGCTTCTCCTGGGGCTCGCACCCTGTCTTTCACCAGGAAAGACGAGGGGGGGGGCACCAAACTGCGCCCTTGGCCCCCGGTTTACAACAACAGCGGCTCCCGCCTGCTACTTCCTTACAACGTATTCCCACATCGCCCTCTCGCGCGGACCTCCTCGAAATTTATTAACACGCCGCGCCCTCGACAATCAGAAATCACGTTCTCCCTTAGGATTTCCTGGACAATACTTGGGAATGGCGCTATCGCTCACGACTTTCTCGCGATTCATACAGGACGCACGCTTCAGCAACCCGCCTGCTCCACCTGACCGCCTGGGCCCGCCTTCGCGACCCGCCCGTTGGGCTCTACACGCCCGATCTGCCCGTCTGTTTCTGTCACGCGCTTTCTGCTCCTAGCCCCCCAGTTGCTGCTGCCTCTCGTGTTCAACCCTCCTCCCTCTCAGTTTGTCCCTTCCTTCCATCCGCCTCTCTTCCCCTGCATTAGGGGCTACACGGAATATGCGCTGCAGGTAAACAAGATATATACCCCCAAGGTGGTACGATCGAACACGAAGAGGGCGGGTATCGAGGGTTCGGGACGTACGTGCTGAACGGCCCGCGGGCAGCTACGAGCGACCAGTCTGAACCTGCTTGTTGCTGTTGTCGTCGTCGTCGTCGTCGTCGTCGTCGTCGTCGTCGTCGTCGTCGTCGTCGTCCTCGTCCAGGTCGCCGTCCCCCCCGCGACCCCCTCTCGACCCCGCTTTGAGGCACAGCCCGCGGGCCACCCTCTCGCCATCGCTCGGACGTCCATTCCCTGTGTTTTTTGTCGGTTCCGCGCGTGGTTTTTTCGCCAAATGATAAAGGATGCTCCTCGATGGTTCTCGACGAGAAAAAATGCACACGTCCGAGCGATGCCAGGCCCTGCGACCCACCCGCGGCCCACACCCGACCCAACCCGCACCCGCCCCGAGGGCGAGGGCCTTGCACCGGGGCAGGGCAAGGCCGCGGCGGCGGCGGCGGCGCCGTGCCGCGACAGAGGGTGGCGCTGCGAGGGGCGCGGGTCCGCCGCGAGAGACCCACGGTGGGGTCCTATATGCTCCACGAAGAGAGGAGGAGGAGGAGGAGGAGGAGGAGGAGGAGGAGGAGGGAGGAGGAGGAGGAGGAGGAGGAGGAGGGGAGGAGGAGGAGGAGGAGGAGGAGGAGGAGAAGGAGCAGGAGTAGGAGGAGGAGGAGGAGAAGGAGGAGGAGGAGGAGAAGGAGGAGGAGGAGGAGGAGGAGGTTGGCAATGCCCTGCTTTTGATGGGGGCCCTGGACAACGCGCCTGTGCCGAAGGCCGCCCGCCGCCGCGCCGCGGGCGCCGCAGGCCAGCGCCGCCCAGAGGAGCGCGCCGGCGCCGCCTGGGGCCGCCAGAGCAACGACGACGAGGACGACCACGACGACGACGACGACGACGACGACGACGACGACGACGACGACGACGTCGACGACGACGACGACGACGACGACGGACGCCGAGAGTCCTGTGGTGTCGGACCCTCGCCGTTTTGATCCGCAGCTTCCCGCGTCTCCGCCCATCCAGCCTCGCCCATCCCTCTCATATTTTTCCCTGCCGAGACATTCCCCACTCTCTCCATGACCCTGCTCCTCCTACCCCTCCTCCTCCTCCTCCTCCTCCGACGCCGCCACCGCCTGATCCTCCCCCCTCCGCAAAGATGCCACCCTTGCCGAAAAATCCTTCTGAGGCTGCTGCTCCCCCTCTCCACATACGCCTGCCCCCCCCCACACACACACACACACACACACACACACACACACACACACACACACACACGCCGGTCGCCGCCTGCGCGCACGCGGACCATCTCGAGGGCCGAGCTGGTGCACCGCGGCTGCTCTCCCCAGCGAGGAGGCGGAGGGAACCCGACCAGCTCCACCCTCGAGGGACGACCTGGTTCACCACTGCTGCTCTCCGGAGGGGGGACAGAGGGAGCTCAGAGGAGGAAAAGGTACCCATACCTCTACCTCCAGGCCGGTTCTCCTTTTTTGGGGGGCCTCCTTGGAGGCCCTCGTCGCCACCGCTGGATTCGCCTCGAAATTCTGGTCAGAACGCACCCCGTGAGAGGTCCGGGGGGAGCGTCAGGTCGGGCCTGTCCCCCTGCAGGGGGATTTGGTACGAAAATCTAGAAATAGTCAAAAAATACACCAATGGCAAAAAATACGAATAACATCGTCTCCAACTATTTTTCAACTACTTTGGCATATTCCCCCAGGAAGAGGGACAGGCCCGACTTGAGGGCAACGGTGTCGGTATTTTTTGGTTTCCACAGACCGGCTCCACCCTCGCCCGCCTCGGGCCCGCCTCCTGGCAGGAACAGCACGACGAGCGGTCCCCGCTTTGATCGTCGGGTGGGTGTAAGTGCGGTAAGAGCGTTGTATATCCGATGAAATCGTTTCAACGAAGATGTATGTAGGTTCATGCTAGTTGACCTCACATATTCAACATATATAAAATATCGAACTTCGCATTCATCTACTTAACGTTTTGTTAGATAAGTATATTCAACAACATACCATACATACTACTCACAGAACCATCCATCTTATCAACTGAACCATCCATCTTATCAACTGAGCTATCGGGTACCACTGCCAAGATATATCGATACATACACCTCAACATACCCAACTTAGTAGCTAAGTCAGCTAAGTCGATGTGGGCTGTCCGATTCGGTTAACCCGAAATTTGCATAACTTTCTATGTTTTGCATGTTTGTTCTTGATATTGCTATGTTTCGGGAAAAAACCACAAAAAACGTTTTAACAACTACAACACAACAGTTTTTCAGGACAGGGCGCCGCAGGTCGACGCGCCGAGCCGCCCTCAGGACGCCTGCGGGGCGCGGAGGGGAAGGGGGGAGAGGGAGAGGGGGGGGGATCAACTATTCTTCAAACTGCCTCCCCTCGGCGGCCATCACCGCCTCCCCTCTCCTCTCCTCGTTGTCGGCGGCCAGCCCGCCCCCGCTCCCTCCTGCCGCCTTCCCTCCCCGAGCCCGCCTTCCTTCTTCGGCGGCATATCCGCCCCTCCCTCCTGCACCTCTCTATCGAAGGGCGGCGCATCCGCCAGCGGCATATCCGCTCTCGCATGCGCTCGTTTTTTCCTTTTTCACGTGATGGCGAGCACATAGCCATCGTCCTGTAGTCGCCGATAAGCCGCCCAGGCTGGCGGGATCAGCTCGGCGGGCATCACGGCGACGTCGCCGCGCGGCCGCCACAGGGACGCGCCTGGGCATGGCGCGCGCACCCATTCCAGGGTCTCCACCAGCAGGTAGCTGGCGGCGCCAGCCTGCGCGCAGCAATGCACGATGTACGCCTCGCCGTCGCCCAGGAGAAAATCCTGAGGGCAGCAACGCCTCGATTTTTGGGGGGGCACACGCATGTGCACCCCTAAATACCAAGGTTGGTTGCGCCGTCTGTCCTGGCTGCCGTGCATCTGGCCGTCGATGGACGCCTCTCTGCTGGTCCACGTTTCAGCCCTGCGGAGGGGTTCCTCCTCCTCCTCCTCCTCCTCCTCCTCCTCCTCCTCCTCCTGGCGGCGAGCCGCCTCGGCGGCAAACCGCCTTCCCCTCTCCCAGCCCATCTTCCTCCACAAAGGGCATGCAAGGTTGCGCCCCGAGTGCCCGAACGTACTGTCCAGCTCTGGCGTGCGCCACGCTTTGGCGCGGGAGCGCGGCGCCTCCTTCGCTTCCTCCAGGAAGCAGGCGAGCATCGCCGTCAAGGCCGACCGCTCGAAATTCTCAGGGTTGTCGATCTCCTGCGACCTGGACCGAAGCAGGTTGTGCTTCCGCTCGAGTACGAAGGCGTCCAACCAGATGCCGTCCTCCGCAGGCTGGTCGGGGACGTGCCACAAATAATGATGCTTCGGCTTGATCAGGGCTGGCCCGTGCGCGGCTTTGTGCAGCGCCAAGGAAATCGAAACGGCCTTGGTCCAGACAGCTATCAAATTCGGCACGGCGCCGATCCTCAGGACGTAGCCGAACCGCCTGCCACCTAAGCGCTCGAGGATGCGCGCGGGCCGACGCGGTGCATCCTCGAACGCGCAGGCCAGCGTTTGCGTTTCAGCTGCGGCCGCATGTCCTTTTGCCCTGCATGTACAATTCGAGCATCTTCGCCATCGCCTCGAACGACCGCGCCGCAGCGTTCGCCATGCCGCTGGGACGCAGCTCTGTGTGCACCCAATGACGAATCAAAGGGAACACGGCCAAGCAATCCGACGCCTTGCCCACGAAGTGCGACGCCTTGCAGGTCGCTTTCTTCCGAGCCACGCTGAACAGAAACGCTGGCGGTTTCCTGCCGCGTCTGCCAGTCCGCCACGCCGAGCAGCGATCCCGCCACGTTCCCCACGCGTCGGGGATGACATCCCTCACCGCCTTGAGGAGCGCAAAGATTTCGACCTGCAAGGTCCCGCCGCTGGCCAGCATGGTATGCATGGGGTCCCTCACGTATGTGCTCGGCGGCGCCACCGTCCGCAACGCCTGGCACGCCACCAGAGAACGGTCATCCAGAGTGATGCCCATTGCCGTCTCCTTCGGGGGCCGGAACATCAGAAGGGAAGGAAGGGGGGGACATCAGAAGGGGATCGATGGAAATGTTTTCCTCCCTGGCTCCAGTCTCTCGATGTTCGCTCTGGTTGTCGTGTCCCGCAGCGACGCCAAATCATCATATTGCTGCAAAAACTCGTCTGACGACAGCGGGTCAAAGCGCGACGAGTCAGCGCACCAGAGAGGCACGAGGTAATCATCGTCGTCGTAGTCTGCAAGACATTCCGCCTGATCCAGCACAACGTTCTTGCATTGCAAGCACGGTCTCAGACCTGCAGCGCCCTTGGTGCAGAATGTCTCTTTTCCAGCCGCCTCGTCTGCAATCAAGCGGTGGAACTTGGCGAAAAAGTGCACGCCGCCGATTGGCGCACCGTGCTCCGACAGACTCTCTGGGCCCAGGAACAGCGCGCGAAGCAATGCCCGCGCCACGGCCGAGCCGCCGATGCTCTTCTTCACGACGACGCGCAAGGTGCCGATCGGCAGCCACGCAACCTCCTTCTGCAAGAAGGATCCGAACTCGAGGAAACTCGCATACACCGCGAGCTGATTCCGACGATTATCTATCTTCAAGGCGTTGCCCACGCCAATGTCGTCGTAGTACAGCAAAAGCCTCCACGGCCGATCGCGCGACACAGGGAAACGGCGCATCGCTTCCCAAAACATTGAACTCCAGAGAGGGCAGTCCGACAGGAGCCTCGGCATCAGCCGATGCGGCAGCGCCACGCTCCATCGGAAAGGCGTGCCGATCTTGGGCTGCAGCCGCACTGCGCTGATGAGATCGGCCACGGATGCCGTCTGCGATCGCTGCATGGCCCGAGCGCTCACGTCTATAGCATCGCCCGCGTCGTCGCCATGGCCAAGCGCAGTCACGATTCGCTCGAGCAAAGCCGCGGACACGCCGCGCAGGGCCAGACACTGTTGCAGTCGAGCCCGCTGCTCCACCTGCTTGTCCACCTGCAGGGCGCGTTTCCCCATTGCGCCGACGCCCGCGCGCGGGAGGGGCGGGGGCGGGGGGCAGCGCGAGGCCCAGCGCGGTTGAGAAAAACGAATTGCAGCCAGAGAGACGGAAGTGGAGGCGGGAATGGATCGCGGGGCGGAGTAGCCGCCGAAGGGCATGGCGGTGTAGCCGCCTGAAGGGTCGGGAGGGGCGGCGTAGCCGCCGAAGAGCGTGGGGGCGAGGGGGCATGGGGGGAGGGGGGAGGGGGGAGGGGGGTGGGTGGGGGAGATTGCGGAGGCGCGAAGTGAGCGTAGCAACGGAACTTGCAAGGGAGATTTCTTTTTCTCGCACGCAATTTCGAGCTTGAGTTTCAAGCTCGGGTTCCAAGCCGCCAGCGCTCGGAGACGGGCGCGGCTGGCGGCTCGAGCTCGGGACGGGCGCAGCGCGGGACGGGCGCGGCGGCGGCTGGCGGCTCTTAGTGCGGGTGCGCGTGCTGCCTCCAACTCCTCATCCACCTCCTCCTCCTCTCCTCATCCTGCCTCCTCTTCCTCCTTATCCTCCTCTATCGGCCCAGCCGATCGCCGCTCAGCTCTCCTGGTGCGGCTGGCGGCAGAAGAACCGAATGCCGCCTGGGATGTCCTGCACCATCTGCTTCGACATCTGGCACAGCATCTTGCCGCGCTCCTCGGTGCGGCGCGCCTCCTCCATCATGCGCCGCGCCTTGTCGATGAGCATCTGGCCCTTGATGCCAACGGCGCGTGCATGGCGGCAACGATTGCGCCACTCGATGAAGCGCACCACGATGGTCGCCCAGCTCCACGCACTGCCACCCGTGATGAGCTCGAAGTCATCGACGTCGTACTTGTCCGCGATGCTCGCCATGGCGGCGCAAGACCGCGAAGGGGCACGACCTCGAGCGGCTCCACTTGAGCCACAAAGACTACGGATGAGGGGTGGGACGGTGGCAGATCATGTCATTGGGAAACGCGAGAGAACGGTGCGAGCGCGGTGGGCAGCAAAGGCGGCATCTCCGCCAAATGAAGGCAAGGCGGCATGTCCGCCAAGGGCTTGCGAGAGTGGAAAGGCGGCATCCCCGCCAAACGAAGGGCTGCGGTGGTAACGAGTGGGGTGGCGATGGCAACGAAGAAATGTTTTTTTTAACAACAATAACAATTGTACGAAATCACACACCTCGTCATGAGCGGCCCAACTGCCGCCCCTGCCAAGGAGCTGCTTCGCCTCTGCTTCGTCTCCGACCGCCAATCGATGGGATTCCCAACGGTGTCGCTGGCCTTCGCGAGCCACAGCTCGCGCGGTAGGGTCTCGGGCAGGACGCGCTCGAGCAGGAGGGAGTTATGCAAGCGCTTCGCCTCGCCAAGTGAGGCATCGGAGCGCGATGAGCAGCAAAGGCGGCATCTCCGCCAAATGAAGGCAAGGCGGCATGTCCGCCAAGGGCTTGCGAGAGTGGAAAGGCGGCATCCCCGCCAAACGAAGGGCTGCGGTGGTAACGAGTGGGGTGGCGGTGGAAATGTTGTTTCACCAACAATAACAATTGTACGAAATCACACACCTCGTCAGGAGCGGCCCAACTGCCGCCCCTGCTCACGAGCGGCCCAGCGGCCGCGGCTTATTCGGGTCCTTCTCCACCTTTTTCAGGCCGTACTTCATGATGTACTGGGCCACCATGGGGCGCTCAGGTGCTGTGCTTCTGCGCCTCCTTGAGCATCCCCGCGATGGCCCTCGCCGCCGAGCTCGCATCCTTCTGGATGCTGATGGCCTCGTCCTGCGTGATCGTCAACGCCACGCCGCTGTGCACGCGCTTCTGCGCCACCGCCTTCATGACTGCCACAGACTTCCTCGCCGCCTTCGCGTTCTTCACAGCCCATGACGGCACCTTGTCCGCCTTCTCATGCTCGAGGTACCCGTCCAGCTCTGTCTCGAGCCTCGTTGCGGTGCCGATCCACTTCAGCGCCAGGTTTTTCTCCTGCGTCTCCTTCTTGGCCTGCTCGGCCTTCTCCCTCGCTTCCTGTCGCCTCCGCTCCTTCTCAGCGTCCTTATCCCTGCGGAGCCTTCGGGGTTGTCCGAAAATGACAACACTTCGAGCCGAGCGAAATCAATAACCCGATCCGAACCTGAAGAGTTGAACGGAAACCGAAAACGAATGCGAAGCCCAGGCGACACCCCTGCGTTGAACCCCCAAACGGCCTGCTCTTGCTCCTGTCCTTGCTCTTGCCGCGGCTCTTGCTCCTGCCCTTGCGGCGGCTCTTGCTCCTGTCGCGGTCGCCGCGCGAGCGGCTCCTGCTGCGGTTGGTGTCGCGACGTCTGTCGCGGCGTCTGCTCCTGCTGTCGCGCCTGCCCCTGCTGTCGCGCCTGCTCATGCTGCGCCTCCTCCTCCTGCGGCTGTCAGACCTGCGCCTGCGGCGCCGCCTGGATCTGGACATGTCGCTCTCGTCGCTTCTGTCGCCCTTGTCGCCGCCGTGCTCTGCGACGCCCGTCGAGGCCGCTGCCCGCGGGCCGCTCTGCTTCGCCTGCGTCCTCTTATCGGTGTACAGCTCGTTGCGCACTGCGGCCTCCACTGTCTCGCTCCAGGCCGCCTCCAATTGCGGCCTGTACGTCCACTCCCCGAGATCAGGGTTCCACCTCTTATCCTGCACATTATCTTCAATCTTTTTCGCGTCGAAGCCGTCGTGCGCCCACTTCCTCAGCGGAAGGTACTTGCCACCCTTGCGGACGCGCTCCTCCTCCATCCGTTGGACAGTGATTGAGCTGACCACGAAGGCTTCAATGCGATCGAGGTTCGACAGCCCAGGATCTTCTGCCAGATCCTTGTAGAACTGCTGCTTGAACTCACTCTTCATTTTGGCGAAACACTTTGGCGGCCACTGTCCGAACCTCCGAGAAAGGCGCACCCCGTTCGTGTTGCACGCGTCGCACTGGTAAGTCGACTGGCCCTTCGCCCTGATCCTGTAGTTGCACTCCTTTGCCGTGCGACAGCAGCGGTTGCAACGCACGATGCTATCCCGATGCCATGCACATCCACGAACTCCCCTACCTGGGGAGCGCCTGCTGGCGGATCGTCCTGAGCTGCCTCCTCCTCCTCCGCCTGCGGCGCTGCCGCCTCGGGCGAGCGCTCCTCATTCTCAACCTTGGCTACCGCGCCCTGCGGTGGAGCCTCTTCCTCCTCAAGCTCACGCTTGGCACTCTCAAGCTCATCCTGTTTGACGCCGAGCTCGGAACCAATCTCGTCGCCGCGCTCCTCGGAGCCCGATGCCGCCTCTGACGCTGCGTCGTCCGGCTCTGGTGGCAAAGCCGCTGCGCCCTGAGGAGGCAGTTCTTCGGCGGGAGCTGCGGCTGACGCAGCTTTGCGAGCCGTCCTCAACGCTGCGGGGTGCTTACCTTTGCCCTTGCCTTTGCTTTTCCCGCGTGCCTTCGGCGGCCCTGCGTCGGTCAATGCGAGCGGCGGCACAAGCTGTCCAGTCAGTGTCATCTGCGTCCCCGATAGCTTAGCTTTCCCACGGGGCTTCGCTGCGGGCGCCTTGGTCATCACTCCCTTGTTTTTCGGCCTGGCTGCTCCGAACATCACTGCCAGAGAATGCTGCTGGTGATCTTCAGCGGGCGGCGTCCCCGCCATGGCGGCGTGACCGCCTTGGCACGCGAGAAGCCGCGCGTCGCGCGCGGCCCTGATGCCAAGATGAGCTGGACGCGAAGCGATGACGAAGAAAACGCGCGGTAAGTGAGGCGGGATAGCCGCCAGCGGAATAGCCGCTTCAAAGGTGGAGGGAGGGGTGGAGTGAGGTATGAAGGGGGCGGCATATCCGCCAGCGGACTCGCCGCTTGAGAGGGTGCAGGGGCGCGGCGAGGGAGGCGGATTGGCCGCCAGCGGACTAGCCGCTCGAAGCGTGGCGGACGCACGAGGTGATACGGATACTGAAATGAATTGCGCGCAACATGACAACCACACAAAATTGACATCATGTTATCATATGTTATCATATGTTATCAGGCGTGTGATAACACCATGCTAACACATGATAACACCTGATAACATGTTATCAGGTGTTATCAGGTGTTATCAGGTGTTATCAGGCGCGTGATAACATCTGCTAACATATGATAACAGCCAACTTTTTTTTGCCAGTGCATGGCGGCGGCGTAGCGGCACGTCCGCCGAGTTAGTTAAGCGGAGCAGCAGGGGCGGAGCGGCGCCCTGCGCTACCGACCGCGGACGGCGCCGCGTGCTTCAAACCGCTGCCTGAGCGGCAGCGAAAAGACGGGCGAGCGCGGAAGCGAGGCGCGCTGCCTGAGCGGCAGCGAAGAGACGGGCGAGCGCGCGCAATCGGGGCGCGCTGCCTGAGCGTCATCATATGCAAGGCGATGGGGGGGTGGGCGGACATGGCGATGCAGCACATCCAGAAAATAGCCGCACTCATTCTTATGCGGATGCAGTTTTCTCCACCCAGCCCTTTTGCCAAATCCCATCCAACCGCCCACCTGTCTTATCCGCCGAAGTTCCCTCACCTTCCTCCCGCTCCGCTCGTCCACTCGCCCCCATATCGCCTTGCATTGGGGGACGGCTACTCGGCCGCCTGCGTGGCCAAAATTCACCTCGGCGTGGCGGCCTTCACGAATTGAGTGCGGATGGAGTGTGTGGGGGTGTCCTAATTTGTTCTGACACAGGGGTGTGGATTGAAATTGCGTTGGAGGAGTGGGAGGGGGGCGTGTAGGGCCGACGCGTCGCGCCGCCTGCGCGAATGAGGCTACTGATGCTGAGGCGACATCAGTGCTGCCAGCCGTGCACCTGCACCTACGAGGTCGCGTTGCGCACCAGCCAGCTCGCGAGCACGTCCTCGCACTCGGCGATGCATTGCTCCTCTTGGCGGAAAGCGTTCACCGCGCGCTCCGCTATCTGGGCGCACATCTGCGTCGCAGTACGCGCGCGGCGCAACGAGTCGAGCACAGCCTGGCACTGGGTGCCGTTGAGCACCACGATGCTATCGGGCGACATCTGGCTGGCCAACGCCGTGGACATCCTCATGCCCGCCGTGGCTGACGAAGCTGCGCCTGACGATCCGCTGCCCTCCGAGAACGCGTCCTTCAGCTGGTGCGAGCGCTCCACGCGGGATTGTGGAGGGATTGGCGCCAGCTCGACCTTCGGCGCCCCCTTGCGCCTTTTGGCGGAGCCCCAGTTGGCCTTCTCCTCCTCCCATTGGCGCCACTCCGCGAGGTCGACTTCCCACGAGTCGGGCTCGAGTGCGACAGCAGCTACCTCCGCTTCGTCCTCGCTCAAGTCGTGGTACGGCGACACGCGAAGGTGGTTCACCAGCTTGTTCCTGGCCGCCTCCACTGTCTCTCCCTGGAACCACTTGCCGCCCCTTTTGCAGCTGCTGCTCTGTGGGCACTTGAAGCCGAACATGACGGTCTTCTCGCCCTGCTGGCCTGCCATGGCGGCAGGGCGAGAAGTGCACGGCTAGCGCAGGGGCGGCGTGGGGCGCGAGCCTGTGCGCGCCTAGATTCGAGCCGATACAGCGTCCCAACAACAAAAACATACATGTGTAAGAGGCGCGGTGGCATCGCACATTTCGGGATGCCAGCAGGCGGCGGCGGCGGTTTAGCCGCCAATGGAGGGCTCAGGGCGGCGTGGCCGCCAATGGGCGGTTTAGCCGCCAATGGGCGGCGTGGCCGCCAATGGAGGCTTCAGGGCGGTTTAGCCGCCAATGGGTGGCTCAGGGAAGGACTGGTGTTTTTTTCCAACCGCATAGAACAAACCCGATGCGCCGATGCTCGTATCTGAACGGCGGTTGTCCGCCAGGCGGGGGGAGGCGGCGCGTCCGCCAATGAGATAGATCGGCAACGAAGAGAGGGGAGGAGAGATGAGATGATACGAGGCGGGGAGAGGCGGCGCGTCATGGCGCGTCAGCGCGGATAGCTGCAACTATCCGCGCTCGAATTACGGAAGCTATGCACCCCAGCCCGCTTGCAGGTCCACGCGATCACCCTACAAGAAGACATCTCGGCGGGCGGGCGGGCGCGGCTTCGCTGGCGGTGGTGCCATCTTGCTTGTCGGCTGCAGCCGACGCCCTGCCCTCGGCTGCACCATGCTGGGCTTCCCTGCTGGCGGCTGCCTGGTCTTCGGCGGCGGCGGCCCCATGGTCTTCGGCGGCGGAGGCGGAACTGGAGGGTTCATATTGCCAGTCCTCCACGGCGCCTGCTGAGGCATCGTCTTGGGCAAGTTCGGCGCCTTGGGCTCCCGATGCATCAGCTGAGGCTTGGGGACGTGCGCCTCGCGCACCCGCGGCGCTGCCTTGTTGCCGTGCAGCTTCGCGTACATCTCGCGCTTTGCGCCACCTCGGTTCCCCCAGCGCTTCGCATTGGCGCGCCACGCCTGGCCCTGCCACGTCTGCGGCCCGCCCATGGCGGGGCCAGGCGGGCCGCGGTCGCGGAACTTCTTGTAGTCGTACTTCATCTGGTACTCCTTGAGCACGGCGAGCACGTTCTCCGACCGCCAGTCGATGGGATTCCCAACGGGGTCGCTCAGCCAGGCTCGCAGCTGCGTCCTGAACGCCTCCACCGCGCTGGGATGCGCCTCCACCGCCTCGGGGGGCTCTTCCACCACAGGCGTCGCGCCCCGCATGTGCGACGCGAGCTCCTTCACGAGAGCCGAGGGCGGGAAAGGCCGCTGCCGCGGGTCCCGCGGCGGTGACGTCGGCCCCCGCCTGCGCGGCGGCGTCGACGGTGCCCGCGGGTGGCGCGGGCTGCGCGATCGCGCTGGCTGCGCCGCCAACGTGGGCGCGCTGGCTGGCCGACTGCCGCTGGCGGAGGAAGACCGATCCCCTGCGTTGTTGTCCACGCCCGCAAGGTCGGAGAGCAACTGCATCGCTGGCCCGAACATCTCCTGCGCCGAATCGCCAAAACAGTTCGACCGAGAGCGGCCAGCCAGTTTCGCGCGCGATGCGCGCGTCCCTGGCTACCGCACGCGGGGCCACTTGTTTTGGCGATGCAGCTGCCTCCAACGCGTCGAACGCGCTGTCGCTGTCTGCCATGGCCGCGGCCGCAGTGCGAGGCGCCGAGCGCGACGCGGTGGCTGCGGCGCAGCCTCGGCGCGCGGGCCCCAGCCCACGCGTCGGCGCGAAAGGGGGGGGCCGACCCCGCGCGGGCTCGCGGGCACCCGCGGGCCGCGGGCTTGAACCGAAATGGAATCGGACGCGGAAGCGAGACTTCGGGAGGAGGGGGAGGGGGTTGCCCATGGACCCATTGAAGTCTTGGAGCTCCTCGAGCCCTCGGGGGCCTCTCAGAAGGGCCCCGCTGGTTCTTGCGACGGGGTCTCGGGGGAGGGGGCAGAGTGAGGGTGGCATTGGGAACCAGAAATATAAGTGAACTGGCGTCCCTTTGAATGTGCAGGTCTTGGTTCACTTGTTTTCGTCGTTGAACGGGCGGTGGCAACGTCGGTGCCTTCGCGCGCGCCCATGCCATTCTGGGTGAACGCCTTCGCCGTTCGAGCAGTGGGCGTCTCCCCGACGTTAGTTGGCGTGGGATCCAGTGCCTGACAGCGGAGAGGGGGGCGCAGGGACGTGGCGCGGGGGCGCGGAGTGGGCCGAGTAGGGGAGGGGGGCGGCGGCATGTCCGCCTGAAGGGCGGAGGAGCGCAAAGGGGTGGGGCGGGGGCGGCATGTCCGCCACGAGTTGGAAGGCGAGAAGGCTGCGCTACAAGGCGGCATATCCGCCACGAGGCGGCATATCCGCCACGACCTTTTTGTTATCCCGAGGCCGCCCCGTTGGCCTGGAGAGTTGAAGAGTCGTAGCGCGAATTACTCGCCGCGCGCCCTGGCGGCGAGCTCCTTCTTGACCAGCTCCTCCGCCTCCGCGATGGCCCTGGCCTCGGAGCGATCGGGCGCAACGAGGCAGCAGGGGGCGGAGGGGGCGTCGAGGCAGGGGCGAAAATGAAGAGAGCGCGGAGGAGGGCGTCGAGAAGGGCGTCGGTGAGAATCTGGCCTTGTCGGCCTCATCGCCCGCGATGTACTTCAGGCTGACGTTGCTGCCAGGGACGCCGACCCTGCCGCTGCGGAACTGCACCTGGGGGGCGGAGCAACGATGAACAGTCGCCTGAAAGGCGGCGGGCGCGCAAACTGCGACCCCAGCGGGGCTGCTGGGAATCGCCGCGCGCGCCCGACGCCTCATCGGTGGGAGGTTCAACCCCGCTCGCCAAGTTGCGTGTGGTCTGCATCTCCCACCTCGGCTTCGCCCACTTGCGCTGCTTGTCCTTCCCAGCCGCGCCGTCCGTCTTCTTGCCCGTGGGGGGCGGCGTCTTCTTAGCCACGTTGCCCGTGGCAGGCGGCGTCGTCTTCTTTGCCGCGTTGTCATTGCCAGGCGGCGTCGTCTTCTTAGCAGCATTGCCCGTGGCAAGCGTGGGGGCCTTCACCGCCTCGGCGTTCTTTTTCGTCTTGACCGCCTTCGTCCTCTTATCCATGGCCGCGACCATGGCCAGAGCCGCCTCCGTCGGGGTCTTCTTCAGAGAGCCTGCGGCGATGCCGACCTTCTCAGCCTTGGGCGGCGGCGTCACGGCGACGATGCCGAAGTCGGAGTCGGAGTCGAGCTCGATCGGCAGCTCATGCTTCTTCTGCTTCTTCGCCGCGCGGCTCTTGCTGATCGAGGCCGTTTGGGCGGCGGCGGTGCTCGATAACGGCTGACAGTCGGCGGGTTTGCCGCCATCGTGTGCCGCCAGTTGCTGCGTCGACGGCGCATCCGAACTCCCCGCCGCCATCGAAAGCTGGTGGTTCGAACCTGCTCGTTCTTGCAACGGCTCCTGCGGCTGCTGCGTCTGCGAGCGGTCGATCAGCTGGATGGCTGGGTTGGGCCAGCGGCCGCCGCTGCGCGAAAGCCCCACCTGAAATCAGGCGGATCACCGCCGAACGAAAATATTCCCCCCCCCCATCCCCCTAGGGGGATGGGGGGGGGGAATATTTCACAACACGCCCTCCATCCAGGCATCCAGAAACGTACCCCGCGCCGATCCAGGAACCCACCCCTCGACCCAATACCAGGTGTCCCGCGGGGGAATGCGTTCTGTTATTCCCCGTGGAGCCGTCGGCCAGCGCCCAGAGAACGAATCGGCCGCCGCGATGGGGAGGTGCTGCTGAGGAGAGCCGCCGCCTGGGCCGTGGGATGGCTGCAGCCCGCCGCGGGCGGGCGCAGGCGCGGGCAGCGCGAGGTGGCCGCTCTTCTTCCCTGCACGGAGATTAATCAGCTTCGCAATCGTCACCATCTCGACGGGATTTATCTGCGGCGCCGTCGCTCCAACACCTGGCGGGAAGGCGTCGACGTACGTGATGGGGTACTGAGACTGGAGCCTCCCAGGCGTGATGGGGAGAGCCTGGATGCCATCCCTGGGCGGCGGCATCGTCGCCACGAGATTCTTGAACGAGGATTTCACTGTGGCCAGATATGACTGCAACAGCTCCCTCGTGATCTCGCCCGTCTCCACGCCTGTCTGCTTGCACACCAGCAACAAGAATGCTGCCATATTGGCGGCCGTCGGGCAGCTCGGATGCCTCAGGCCAAGCGCCCCGAGGTGCTCTGAGAACGCCGCCATCTTGGCAGTGAAGCCCGAATGCGGCGAGAGCACGAACTCCCACAACTGAGGCGTCAGAAATTCAATGAACCCCTCGTAGTTCTGGAGCTTCCTCCCCTGCAGGCTGCCCGACGACAGAGCCTGCAAGAAGTCTCCCAGCTCGGACTGCGCCCACCCCACGCCGCCGCCCAAAGCAGCAAACTGCGCACTCTGGAGCTGCGACCAGCGCTGGGACGTCGCCGCCTGGATGCAGGCAGGAAGGTGCTCCGTCGCACTGCCGCGCGCTACGAACGCCGCCCGCGCCTCCTCCAGGCGGCCTCGAAGGATGCCCTCCATGGCAGCGATGCGGCGCGACCGCGCGCCGAGCGGAGTGCGCGACTCCCCGCGCGCGCACGCCGCCCGAAGCCCTCGGAGGAGGGCTCGCCAAAAACGGATCGAGCCAACGCGCGTGCGACGGACATATCCTACTCCTGCTCTTCCTGCTCCTCCTCCTCCTCCCCCTCCTCCTCCTCCTCCTCCTCCTCCCCCTCCTCCCCCTCCTCCCCCTCCTCCTCCTCCTCCTCCTCTCTCCTCTTCCTCCTCTCCCTCCTCCTCCTCCTCCTCCTGGGTGAGGGGGGGCGCAGGGGGGAGAGGGTGTCGAAGGGGGGGCGGGGGAGGGGGTGCCGAAGGGTGCGCGGGGGGGAAGAAGAGAGCTATGGGGGAGGGTGGGTCAAGGAGAGGCCAGGGAGGGGAGGGGGGAAAGGGGTGGGCGGCTTGCCGCCGAGGGGGTGGAAGGAGGCGGCAAAGCAAGCCGCCGATAGGGCGGTTGGGAAGAAGCGGTTTCCCGCCACGAGGAGGAGAAGGCGGTTTGCCGCCAGAGGAGGAGTAGGCGGTTTGCCCCCAGAAGGGGTAGGCGGTTTGCCGCCAGAGGAGGAGAAGGCGGTTTGCCGCCAGAAGGGGTAGGCGGTTTGCCGCCAAAGGAGGAGAAAGCGGTTTGCCGCCAGAAGGGCGGTTTGCCGCCACGGAGGGGGAGAAGGCGGATTGCCGCCATGGGGGGGGGAGAAGGCGGATTACCGCCGACGGAGGACGAGGCGACGGAGGAGAAGGCGGTGCGCCGCCTAAGGAAAGGGGGGATAAGGGAGGGCCGAAGACACATGGATAAACATTTTCCTCCTTCCCTCCCCCCTCCCCGCGGGCATGCGCGCAGCCCGCAGCGCCGCGGCCGCGAGGTACAGCAAGTACCTGCGGCGCCTCGGTCCTGAACAACTGAACAACAACAACAACGGAAATTCAATGGATTTCAAAAAAGTTAAGAATAAAAAATACGCAAATGATTAGCAAAAACACGAATATGTTCAGCCCCATCGACTTAGAAGAGATATCTAACTTATTATATTACTTACATCTACACTTACAAACACCATAAGTATTGCATATGCACACATGAGATGCGCGATCAACAAGTGTACGTTCTATGGCTTAACTAAGATTATGTAAGATGAACGCTCTTACCGCACTTACAGCCACCCGACGATCAAAGCACCAGGGGCACCCGGCGCACCCGGCACACCCGGGCGTGCCGGGTGCGCTGGGTGTCCCGGCCGGGACACCCGGGGCATCCTCCCGGGACACTCGGCGCACCCACCCGGCGCACCCACCCGGCGCACCCAGCGCCCAGAGCGCCCGCAACATTGGGACACCCGGCGCACCCGGGACCACCGGCGAACGCAGGACACCCGGCACACCCGGCGCACCCGAGACACCTGGCGCACCCGGGGCATTCGGTTCACCCGGCGCACCCGGGACGGCCTGGGCACCCAGCGCGCTTGCTGGGACACCTGGCACACCCAGGAGACCTTGGGCACCTGGCGCACCCGGAAAACCGGGGACACCCCAAAGCCCTAAGCCTACTTACGTAAAGCCCTTGCTTAGGCTTGCCCAGAGTTTACTTGGGCCAACCTTCCGGCGCCCCCTAAGATCCATGCCCAAGGTCTGCCCTGGACTTGTTCCGGGGACCCTCAGTAAATAAACTAGCCTAGCGACCCTGAGTTTGTCCATGACCACCCTGGAGCATGTAGTCCCTTCGGCTAATTACCATAAGTCTTTGGTAAAGCGGCAGGCGAGCCCCCTCCCCTCGGGCTCTGTGCCTGCCCAGGGACCACGTCGCGTTCGAGCCAGGCCCTCGTGGATGCTCCTTGCGTCTCGTGGACGGCGCGATCACGAGGGTCCGCTTCAGGAACCGCGGCGGCGTGTTCGAGCCGGAGCTGCGCGCGACGAACTGCGACGCCCCCGCAGCGCAGGGCTTGGACGTGAAGAGCATGGCCAACCGCGTGCTCGAACACTTCAAGGTGAGCTTCACGGTAGCGCCTTGGTCAGAGGAGGCCCAGTTGACCATCAAGGGCTTCCACATGGTGTTCGACGCGCAGTGCGCGCTCGTGCGGGATCAGGGCAATGAGACTCGCGCGGCCCTGTTGGGATCCAGCCCTTGGATGCTCGGCATGATCTCGGTGGCGCTGCTTATTATGGAGATCGCGGTTGGCGAGGCGCCGATGGGCGGAGAGGCCAAGTTGATGGAGTATCGCGTCGCCCGGGCGTGGGACATCCTAGACGTCTCGGGGCCCTGGGAATCAGCGCCGCGCAAACGGGGGCATTGGCGGGCCCGTCCAGGGGGGGTGGACTTTGAGATATCCCGGCCCGTGGTTCCAGCATGCAGTCGGCTTCGCGGCCCACCTCAGTTGTTTTCTTTATTAGTTTTGTTGTGGGGCTCTCGAGGTCTTCCACAGCGTTCGCATCGCCCTTGAGGAAGGGCGCGAGAGCCAGGGGGTGGGAGAGAATAGAGAGAGAGAGAGAGAGAGAGAGAGAGAGAGAGAGAAACAAACAAAACAGAGAGGGAGAGAGAGGGGGAGAGAGAGAGAGATAAAAACAAAAAAAAGAAGATATAGATATAGAGAGAGAGGAGAGAGAGAGAGAGAGAGAGAGAGAGAGAGAGAGAGAGAGAGAGAGAGAGAGAGAGAGAGAGAGAGAGAGAGAGAAGAGAGAGAGAGAGAGAGAGAGAGAGAGAGAGAGAGAGAGAGAGAGACAGAGACAGAGGCAGAGGCAGAGACAGAGACAGAGACAGAGACAGAGACAGAGACAGAGACAGAGACAGAGACAGAGAGAATAGAGAGAAAGAGAGAGAGAGAGATAGAGAGAGAGAGAGAGAGAGAGAGAGAGAGAGAGAGAGAGGGCCGCGCGGGACGCCGCCAGCCGCGGGGCTGCCGGCGCAGTCTGGGTCGGCGCGGTCGGCGACGAGTGGGTGGGGCCAGTGGGCCTTGGCCCAGGCTCAGCCGCGGCGCGCTCTCCCAGGCCGACCGTGGAATCATGTCAATATTGTTCGCGCCAAAGGGAACCGCGGGCCGCGGGCCCCTGATTCTCGGGGCGCGCTCGCGAGCAGTGTCACGCCGCGGGCCAAGGGCAACCGGGGAAGGCACGGGGCCAAGGGCAATTGGGGAAGGCACGGGGTGGGGACATTATTCGGAAGGCACCTTTATCAAAGTTGCGGTTCCGCATGGCAGGTGGCGACGTCGGCGGCGGCTCAGCGGGCGGCGGCGTCGATGGCGAGGGCGACCGCGAGTTCGAGGGGCTGGGCAATCGAGCCAGCCCCGGCGGCGCCTCGGCCGCGGAGGAGGAGGGGCCGCCGCTGGCGGGCGTGGCCAACGACGGCGCGGGAAAGGCCGCAAGGGCGCCGCCAGCGGCGGCTGCGGCCGAGGGGTGCGGCGAGGACGCAGACGCCAATTTCCTGATGCCAGGCGACCCGGAGGCCCCCTCCATGGATGAGGGGCACGGCGAGGACCAGAGATGGCGCTTGCGCTGCGCGGGGTCGGCGTGGGCAAGGGCAGGGGGGGGATTCGAGCCAGAGTGGAGGGGCCTCGCCCAGCTTGAAAAAGCTTCGATGGACTCACAGGGGGCGTGGAAGGGGCGGGGCTGCGCGTCGTTGATCGGCTTCCCTCAGGACGGCGCCTCGGCGCAGATGCAGGAGCACGGCGATGTTTTCCTCGCCGGCAGGGAGATTATGAATAAGACAATTTTGCGAGGTGAACCCACTGTCTTCTGTTCGGATGTGCGTGGCTCCATCCGGAAGACCCTGCCGAGCCAAGAGCCAGCCGTCCGCGGGAAAACAGTCGCCCTCCGGCAGCACCATTGGAAGGCGGTCATGCAGGCGGGGCTCGGCCAGTATCACATTGGCACGCGCGACGACGGCTCGAGCGCGGAGGGCCAGCCGGGCGCCCCGCGGATCCACTCGAAGCTGCCGCCGCCCGACCGCCGCGACCTCCACCTGCCATTCCGCAACAGCCTGATGAAGCTGCGCGGCGTTTCCCTGCAGGCGTGCACGAGTGCGATTGGGGCAAAGGAGACCTGGAAGAGGAGAGCTCCGCCTGCCCCCGCCAGCGCTCCGCGAGCCGCGCGGCAGCGGGGGGCTGCAGTGCCCGGCGGGCAGGCAGGGGCCCCGCGCGGCCCGGGCGCGACAGCGGCGGCGGGCGGAGTAGCAGGAGGATTACCCGGCGGCGCGGGAGGGGCCGACGCGGCGGCGACGGCCAGCGGCGCAGCGCCGACGCCCGCCGGCGCGGCAGGCCGCGGCGCGGCACCGGCGCGGGCGCGCCCCAGCCGCGCCCTGGGAGAATGGTAGATTCTGAGTGGAGCGTAGTCGAATGAGAGCATGGGTGAATCGAGCCGCCCACGCCTGCGCCAGGTGTCCGTCGGGATGCCAGGATGCGGGGCGCTCTCGGGCAGCTTTGGTCCCCGACCGATTAGATGTGGGTCGCTCTCTAGCAGTTTTGGTACCCGATCTATACCCCGCGGCCTCAGTGCGCCTGTGCTGGGCAGCTCTGGCACGCTGGCTTCGCGCAGGGCGTTAAGAGAGGGGGATCAGGGCCAGGAGTAAAAGGGCGATCAAGCTAGCCAGTTCGAGCGAGTCAAGCACGGCATGCACATTCCCACCGTGATTCCCGCCCGCCCTCCCACAACATAAGAAACAGTGATGGCGCCAGTGGTAAACGAAATCAAATGTCAAGGTGGTGTGCCACAGCTATGCAGCCGCCGTGGTGGTTACCGATGGGCAAGTCCTCGCCCGTCTCAATGGCTGCGCTGGCACTTCTGCACGAGCCGAGGATGCCCCAGGAGGCCCCAGGAAGCCTCAGGAGGCCCCAGGAGGCTTCAGGAGGCCTCAGGAGGTGGTGGGAAGCTCCAGGGGGCCCCAGGAGGCTTCAGGAGGCCGCAATTCGCATTGCCGACGACAAGACAGGCCACGTTGAAAGGAAACGCGGAGACTTTGTATTGAGTTTTGACAGTCAGGATGGGAGGGCCCAGATTGACGTCCGCGCGCGATGTGCGCCGCGTCCCATTCCTGCCACGCAGTTCGCTTCGTCGACGACAAGGCAAACCATGTTGGGAGGAAAGACGGGCACTTTGCATTGATGTCACATAGTCTGGATGGGAGAGCCCGGATGCAACCGCCATCGGCCACACAGAGGGGAGAGTAGGAGTATATACAAATTAGGAGTAAGGATGAGGAGGATGTGGAGCGATATTGCCATGCATCTTCCCGTCCCATGTCTCCATCTGTATACGTAAGTCCTTGCAGATTTTCTCTGTTCACAAATGGACGCGCACATTTGGAAGACAGGCGCCTTGCGGGCGTCGCGTTCACGATTCGTGGCAGACCCGGCGCACCCAGCACAACACCCGGCGCACCAAACGCACCCAGCGCCGAGCGAACCCGACGCACGCGGCGCACCCTCCGCACCGAGCGCACCCGGCGCCGAGTGCACCCGGCGCGCCCGGCGGCCCCGCACCTGGCGCCGCGAGCATCCGGGACACCCGGCGCACCCAGCACCGAGCGCACCCGGCGCCGAGTGCACCCGGCGCACCCGGCACACCCGGCGGCCCAGCACCCGGCGCCGAGTGCACCCGGGACACCCGGCGCACCCGGCGCCGAGTGCACCCGGCACACCCGGCACACCCGGCGGCCAGGCACCCGGCGCCGAGTGCACCCCGGACACCCGGCGCACCCAGCGCCGAGCGCACCCGGCACACCCAGCACACCCAGCGCACCCGGCACCCCGCACAAACAATTGTTATGGGGAGGGCACAGGAGGAGGAGGAGGAAGAGGAGGAAGAGGAGGAGGAGGAGGAGGAGGAGGAGGAGGAGGAGGAGAGGAACAGGAGATACTCGAGGAGGAGTGCAGACAAAGGAGGGAGGAGGGAGTGGGTTCGGGAGGGGAGCTGGGGTGCGCTTCTATTGCCGCGATGGGGGTCCGTTTGTGGATTAGACTTTTCGTTGAGATGTTCTTAGGATTCTCATTGGGCTTTCCGGCACTTCGCTGCCTGCCATGGTATCTTGAAGGCTCTCCAGGGCCTTCTTGGTGTGTCATTAGGCCCTTTTGGGCCAATCTTGGGGTCGTTTGAGGTCCAGGGAGTTCATCTCGAGCCAAACTTGTCAGAATGGAAATGCCAGTGACAAGTATATTGTTTTTAACATGGAGTTGGCTTCTCGTGGGCCTCCTTGCGACTCTCTCGGGCCACCGGTGTAGTCATGCCCCGTGGGATAGAATCGTGGAGCCCATCTCGGGCCGATTGATGGTATCTGGCGATCTTAGTCTGAGTCTGAGTCACTGCGTCTCCGGAGGCGCTCCAGGGGTTCGCGAACCCTTGTCGCGGCAGACTGCGGCCTGCTCTGGCAGGCCAGGGGAGGCCACTGCTCGTACGAGTTCTCTACACTGCGTAGCGGCCAGATGGGGGACCTGGCGCGGGTCGTAAATAGAGGATCGGGGGTGGACTGAACCCACACCCTGACACGTCGATTAGTGAATCGCCCGTTTTCGGCTCTCGAGAGGGCGCCGCGGCCGTCGTTTTCCAGGCTTGCGCCCGCCAGGCTTGGGCCCGAGATCGTTTTCACTGAACCACGTTTTGCTAAAGGGGGTTCTGTCCATGCCCGAGGGGACACCTGGCATAATCACCAACTTTCGGAGTTCCGCGCGGACCTTTCGAAGTTTATCTTTACGCCGCTGTTCACTCAAAGATGCCCTGCTGGTGTGCCGTCGGAGTTCTCGGGGCCGTCTTGGTCGCAATGGCCCTCGGAGTTTTCCCGAAGGGGCTCGACCGAACCCTGTTGGGGACGCCTGGATCTTGCGGCCGTCTCGAGCGGCCATCGGGCCGTCTTGGGCTTTCTCCTCCTCCTCCTGCTCCTTCTCCTCCTCCTCGGTCCGTCTCGGGCAATCTTGGGGTGTGACAAGTCTCACTGAAGCTTGGAGAGGCGGCAGTGTGGTAGTCGTGGTGGTGACGGTGATAGTGAGAGCATGTGGTATTGGTACTTGTCGTGATAGCGGCAAGTAGTAGTAGTAGTAGTAGTAGTAGTAGTAGTAGTAGTAGTAGTAGTAGTAGTAGTAGTAGTAGTAGCAGTAGCAGTAGCAGTAGCAGTAGCAGTAGCAGTAGCAGTAGCAGTAGCAGTAGCAGTAGCAGTAGCAGTAGCAGTAGCAGTAGCAGTAGCAGTAGCAGTAGCAGTAGCAGTAGCAGTAGCAGTAGTAGTAGTAGTAGTAGTAGTAGTAGTAGCAGTAGTAGTAGTAGTAGTGGTGTTGGTAGCTATGGGGCCCAAAGGTGTACACCACAACCTCCCTCATCCACTCCCTCTCCCAGGAAAGAGGAGAGGAAGATGAGGGCGGAGGCTTGAGGAGGAATCGACGTGGTGGTGGTGGTGTATATTGCTGGGGCCCGCAGTAGCGGCGGGGGGGGCAGGACATCGCGATCACGTGCCCCGAGTTCACGGACGAGACGACCGGTGTGCTGTGGCGCTTCAAGAGGATTGCCGGCGATTGTGGGTCAGCCAGCGGGCAGTGCTGGCGGGCACGATCATTAAGAGGAGGAGGGGGAGGAGGAGGAGGAGGAGGAGGAGGAGGAGGAGGAGGAAGAAGAGAAAGGAGGAAAATGAGGATGCATTGATTCGAAGACGCCTACGGTGAATCACCGCCGCCACCAGTCCTTTGGAAAGGCAAGGCGCTGCTGGCCTATGTATCGGGTGTAATCAGAACCGAAGTTTCGAGAAATGTTTTGAATCAGCTCCCAGAGTGGCCCTCTGGGCTCGTCTTGGGGTTATCGTGGGGCTCTTTTCGGGCCATTCTGGGCCTTCTTAGGGCCTCCTGGGGCTTTTTTCTTGGGACATCTTGGGGCCCTTCTGGGCCGTCTTGGGGCGCTCTTAGGCCGTCTGGGGGGTCTCTTGAGCCCGTCTTGGGACCCCCTTTGGGCTCTTGAGGGCCGTTTTGGGGTGCTCTCTTGCGTCCTCCTGGAGCCCACTTGGGCTGTCTTGGACACTCCTACGACCGAAAAGGCGAGAAGGATCAAATATGTCAAAACCATTAAAGTTGCCTCTTCGGAGCCTCCTGGAGGCTCTTGGAACGCACTCGGGGTTTCTTGTGGGCCTCTTTGGCCGCCTTTGCCGTCTTGGAGGCTTTTGGGGGCCGTCTTGCATCGGAAACTGGAGCACATACATTACCACTGGCAGGCTGTTTTTCAATCCCAGGCTGTTGTTCAATCCTAGGGTGTTGTGGTGTGTACTTGTTTTCACCTTTTTCACGGGTAAGCAGCGAAAGCCGTATACATCATGATCCCGTATACACCAGGATCCGCTCTCCTGTGCGCATGTCAGTGCGGGGCCGGAAACAGCGTCGGTGTATATAGAGCTCGGCTCCTTACCGTAAGCCATCTTGGCCCATCTCCGCTGTCCTGGAGGCCCTCTCAGTGACATCTCAGGCGGAACAGCCAGACAGACAGTGAGATGCCATGCGCTGGAGCGCGTGGGCAGAAAAGGCATGCAACGCCAGCCTGGTCTCTCCGCGGGAGCGGCGGGGTGCAGCACAGAACTGTTGGATTGCGTCGTGCGTGTCAGGTGATCGTTGTTTTATTCATTGTTTTGCCGATCGGCGCGGGCCCTCGCACCCCCCCCTCCCCCCCCTTCCCATGGAGTAGATCTTGGCGGTTCTTGCCGCCTGTTTCGAGCAGGTGGAGCCTCTCCCCTCTAGGACGCACTGCTGCAAACAGTCGCACCAAGCAGAGGTCCGGAGCCAGACCCCCCCCCCTTCGGCCCAATGTCGAAGCGCCGAGTACAGCAACGCTCTCCAGGAGACGGAGGAGGAGAGGGAGGAGAGGAGGAATGAACACAACGTCGGCCACAAACCTCCTCCTCCTCCTCCTCCTCCTCCAATGCGGAGCAGCCACTGGAGGACATCCTCTCCCTGGGCCCCTCATGGACGTTTTGAGCCGGGGGCGGCGTGACAGGCCGAGGGCCTGCGGGGGGAATTCGGGGAGGGGGGCCGGAGAGTGTTGGGAGGCTCGGGGCAGCGAGTGCAGTCGACTCGCATGGTGAGGATAGGCATGCTTCCCAAGGGTACCCTCGCATCCGTGCCTCCTGGGTCCATTCTTGGACACTTTCGTTGGCCGCGCCCCGCTCGAAGCGCTTCGAAATGGACGTCCAGGGCCCTTTGCATCCTTATCGCGCATCCTTGCCATACGGGTTGACTGTGCCACGCACCCCGCCAGCAGGCTGCGGGGGTCAAGTAGGGCTCTTTAGTCGCCGAGCTCCGGTGGGAAGGCGAGATGCCGCGAGTGACACGCCGGTCGTGGAAGGTATAGGGATTGGGGGATATCCAGATCCCAGTCTGCTTCGAGCCTTCAAGCGCCCTCCTACATCAAGACTCTGCACGTGTTGTGCATTTGTTGTTGTTACCTAACAGCGAAGACTGATAGGTTTCTAGTAGTGTCAAAAGAGGTCACAGATCACTCCACAGGGGGGTCCGGGCAGGTGTTGGGAGTTGCCGGGCGGGCCTGTGCCGAACTCGTTTTTCACCAACAGTCACACACTTCGTGCTCTTCGACTTCCCAGAACTCCATTCCCAGGCTCATTCTGAATAACCGGATGCAACAGTCACACACTTCGTGTTCTTCGAGATCCCAGAACGCCATTCCCGGGCCACCTTTAGAATAACCAGATGCAACAGTCACACACTTCGTGCTCTTCGAGTTCCCAGAACGCCATTTCCGGGCCACATTCTGGAGGGCCGGATGCAACAGTCACACATTTCGTGCTCTTCGAGTTCCCGGAATTCCATTCCCGGGCCACATTTTGGATGCCCGGAGCCAACTGTAGGCCATTTCGTGGTCTTCGAGTTCCCAGAACTCCATTCCTGGGCATGATTTTGAATGCCCGGAGCCAACTGTAGGCCACTTCGTGCTCTTCAAGTTCCCAGAACTCCATTCCCCGGGCCACATTTTGAATGCCCGGAGCCAACTGTAGGCCACTTCGTGTTCTTCTAGTTCCCAGAACTTCCATTCCTGGGCCACATTTTGAATGCTGAGGCAGGCTGATGCTGCGGCCGAGGCAGGCTGAGGCTGAGGCAGGCTGAGGCTGAGGCCGAGGCTGAAGGCAGACTGAGGCTGAGGCTGAAGCAGACTGAGGCTGAGGCTGAGGCAGGCTGAGGCTGAGGCTGAGGCAGGCTGAGGCTGAGGCTGAGGCTGAGGCTGATGCAGGCTGAGGCTGAGGCAGGCTGAGGCTGAGGCCGAGGCTGAAGGCAGACTGAGGCTGAGGCTGAAGCAGGCTGAGGCTGAGGCTGAGGCAGGCTGAGGCTGAGGCAGGCTGAGGCTGAGGCTGAGGCAGGCTGAGGCTGAGGCTGTGACTGCGACTGCCGTTGCCGCTGCGACTGTCATCGCGAATGCGACTACGACTGCGAGAACAGCAGAATTCTACAACTGGATTTTCATCTGAATCTTAAGGGGAATGCTTTCAGATATGCTTCTACACATCGCTGTTAGGTTGCTTTGCCGGGATAATTTTGTTATTCTCTGGGCGGGCCCGAAACCAATCTACTTTATCTGCCTTCCTACTTCATGTTTGTACCTACTTCTTCCGATGGGCGGGTATGTGTGACCACATGCGGCTGCACCTAGATTGTGAAACACCCTCGCAATCCCCACCCCCGACACTTCAGTGTTGGCCTCCATGTGGTATCCCAGGTCCAGGAGGACAAAATAACGTAAGTCAACATTGACATGTGGAAGGGGGGTGTTGCCGAGATCGGAAAACGTCTGATTCAACCTGGCGGGTTGCTGTTGATGCTTTAGGGATAGCTTGCATTATTAAAATCGCTTCGCTCATTCCGCCGGCCCTGGAGCGCTATTTGGGGCCTCTCGGGGCCGTCTTGGGGGCTTCTTGGAGGCTTTTTGGGAGCGTCTTGGGGCTCCTTGGCGGCGTATTGGGCTCCCCTGGGGCCTCTTGGGGGGCTCTTGGGAGCCCCTTGGGGCGGGAGGGGGGGTAGTCGACTGCAGCCCCCCCCTCGGAGGCCACGATCCTCGTGAGGGGTGGCGAAAAATAGCCTCCCCCCTGGGGATCGCCCAGGACCCGGCCGGGACCCGGCCGGGGGTCAGCAGGGGTACTTTTCGTCCGGGGCCCCCCAGGGGCCGCCCCGCGCGCGCGAACTAGAAGTCTTGTTAAGTAGTTACCGGAGATCTTAGCACGCCTCTGGCCCGTTGGGCCGGCGAATTTCGTCCACGCATTACGATAGCTCCTCACCTGCAGGTAGAATAATGACGTCGAGAGCTGCGAATGAGGACGAGGAACAGGACGATGATGCAGAGGACGTCGATGATTAGTAGGCTGGAGGGGTTGGCTGAGGTTGGAGGAGCTTGGAAGAGGTTGGAGAGCATTGAAGGTGTTGGAGGGGGTTCGACGGCGGAGCAGGCGGAAGGGGCGAGGGGTCTGAGGTGTGGGGGGGTGGCAGCGCGGCCGCGCGCCTTGGTTCTGCAGCAAGTTACGGCTCACGAGTTCTGGATCGGCGGGCGCAGCCCGCACCCGTCGCTAACCCATTCTCCATATATCCTCGGCGACGAGCGAAGGGGGGAAGTGAAAAGGGGCGGGCCTTCTCAGAAGGCACGGAAGTCCCCAAGCCTGGTGAGAAGTTCTCTGAGCCTTCCCCGAAGGCACAACAAAACCTCTCAGAAGGCGCGGGGGCTCCTGAGAAGTCCCGCCGCCTCATGAGAAGGCCTTCTAATTCTCATTTCCCCCCCCCCTCGCTCGCCGCCGATATCCACACACGGCAGCGGTTCCATCGCTTGCCCCACTCCTCGGCGCCACCCAGGCACGTCGACATCCCTGCGGCACGCTCCGAGGGGGGAAGCGAGAGGCGGGGGCAGGCCTTCTCGGAAGAGGAGGAAAGGGAGGAGGAGGAGGAGGATAATGAGGAGGATAATGAGGAGGATGATGAGGAGGAGGACGAGGACGAGGACGAGGAGGAGGACGAAGAGGGCTTTTCTGAGAGGGGCCGAGCCCCTCGTCGGCCTTCCGAGAGCCTAACCTGCCCCGCCCCCCCCGCCCTTTCCCCGGAGCGCGCCGCCGAGCCTCGATCCACACTCTCGCTCGCCGAGTCGGGGCGCGGCTCCGCGGAGAGAGCGCGTGCTGCCCGATGATCGCGCCGCCCGGAGTCCGCGCCTCGAGCCCGGAGCTGCACCGGCGGGCGTCCTCCGTGAGCTCCAGCTCGAGCCAGGATCGAGGGGCCCCTTTTCAAGCCACCGCTGCCAGAGGCAGGAGGAGGAGGAGGAGGAGGAGGAGGAGGACCCCCTCATCATGCCTTCTCTCCCGCCCCGTCCTACATCTGGTGGTGGTGGTGGTGGAAAATCTGCCCAGCAAGGCTCCTCCTGGCCCCGAGTGGCGGAAGCGCCGCTCGCGCCGGGCGATCCAGCGCATGCACATGCGGAACCGGGCCAACCGCAAGTTGGAGCGGCGCGCGCTGCGGGACAGCGGCATAGCGCTGAGTGCCATCGTGGACTCGCGGGGCTACTCGATGAGGCCACTCATTCGGTAGCAAATCGTGGGAGCCTTGTCTACCCTCGTGATTTTCCGCCTTCAGCGTCAATTCGCGCCGATGGGCGTTTGGGGGTCGATGAGATAGCGCTGATTTAGCGTCGACTAGCGTCGATTTCGCGTTTATTAGTGTCGACTAGCGTCGATTAGAGTCGATTCGCAAAAGCCGACAAGATGGTATGGGAGGCTCCCAGGAGTTGCCACCGAAAACTCAGGTCTCCGACGATATGATTGTTCAGCCGTCGAGTTTTCCTCGATTTCGGCCCTGGGGAGCCGGTCGGGGCCTCTGGGGGTCGCAGATTGAAACGAGCATATCGGCGGATGTCAGGTGATCGTTTTCTTATGCATTGTTTTGCCGATCGGCGCGGGCCTTTGCACCCCCCCATCCCTCCCCCCCCTTCCCATGGAGTAGATCTTGGCGGTTTGGGGCGCCTGTTTCGAGCAGGTGGAGTCTCCCCCAGAAGACGCACTGCTGTTGCAAACAGTCGCATTGAGCAGAGGTCCAGATCCAGACCCCCCCCCTTCCGCCCAATCCCGCCCAATGTCGAAACGCCGGCTAAGAACACGCTCACCAGGCCACCCCGCATGCCGCGCAGCCCGACCGCGGGCGTGTCGAACACGGTCTTCGGGGGCAACGTCAGGGGGGGTGCAAGCTCCAGTGCAGGGGGGGGATGCATCGACCACCAATCGCTCATTCATCGCCGATAGGGCCCCGATGGCCCACCCCGCCCAGGAACTGGCGGACTCGCTATCGGAGGCCCATCGCCGATCCGTCGGCGCTGCACCGCCGATTCCAGTTCGATGTTCCGCCCCCCCCCCCCCCGTGCCGGTGCCCCCACCCCCGGCGTTCCCCCTCAGGTTTGCGTCACCATTTCTGCTCAGGGCGGCCCGGTGTGGACGAAGGCGGCGGAGGAGCTGTCGGAGTTTGGAGAGATCGCCCGCCTCGACGTCAGTCTGTCGATCACGCTCGGAACCGTGCTGGTGACGTACTTCGACGTGCGGTGCGCACAGATGGCACTGTTATCCATGGCGTCCTTCGCCGCACCTTTCCCGCAAGCGGAGCAGGATTGTCGCATCGTCTTGGTAGACGTCCCAAGCCTCTGCCAGAAGCTGGGCCGCACAACAGGGTTCCAGGATTTCGGAGAGGTGGCCCAAGTCGACATCGTTGCGGGGCAGTCGGTCGTCGAGTTCTACGACTGTAGATCCGCACAAGCGCTCTTGGCAGCTGCTGGTGACTGCGCCACCCCGCTGCCCGCAAGCGCTGTCTTACCATCTACCCGCCCGCCTAAAGACGCTTCAGGGCACCTGCCAGCGCCTCAGAGAGGGCGGGCGTGCGACGTGGCTGGGCGTCGCGAGGCGCAGGACTTCGAGAAGGAGTGGAAGTTCGGCGTCGATCCAGGCGCCATTCTGCGCGGTGAGGACAAGCGCACCACCGTCATGGTCAAGAACCTGTATGCCGCCGAGAAAGGAAAGGGGCTCTCGAGGCAAGGTCTGCTGCTGCTCCTGGACAGGTGCGGCCTCGGTGGCCGCTACTCTTTCTTCTACATGCCGTGCAATGAGAAGAAGGGTGAGCATGGTCTTCCAGGCTTCGAGTAGGAGATCGACTACAGAACTGAGTCACCCCCAAATCGCTTGTTTCGTCGTATCTACGAAAAGATGTAGAATCTTTTCGGATCCACGGAAATCCTACGCATGCGTTCTCGTAAAGACAATTTTTCGGGTGGGGCTAGGACGACGAGAAATCCGTTCCAGAGCGTTCCGGAACGCTCTGAGAAGGCCGCGGCTCCCGAGACAGCTTCCAGAGCCGCTGGATCTCATATATTCTCGCCCTATCATCACCCGATGTTGTCCTCGCCCTGCCTTCGTCTTAATTCTGGGGTAGCTCAATGCTGTCGTCGATCTCCTGCTCGAAGGCTTTGCCTTCGTGAACTTCCTGTCCCCGTCCTTCGGTGGCAAATCATGGGAGCCTGGTATACCCTCTTGATTCTGTCTTTAGCGTCGATTCGCGTCGGTTAGCGTCTGGAATCGTTGAGATAGCGCCGCGATTAGCGTCGATGTAGCGTCGATTGGCGTCGATTTAGCGTCGACTAGCGCCGATTCGCAAGAGCCGACAAGATGGTATGGAAGGCTCCCATGAGTTGCCACCGAACCGTCCGACGTGCACTCCCTCCACGGCGCGGTGGCGGGCGGGCTCTGGCGGGAGGTGTGTGGCAGCTCCCCCGCGAAGCCGCCGGCCCTGAGCTACGCGCACTTCCAGGGGCACGAGGCACTCCCCAGCATCGGCGGCGAGGGGTTCGAATTTCGAACTTCGAGCCTGGGCTTCGAGAGGTTCGAGATTCGAGCTTCGAGGCTCGAGGTCTCCGGGCGTATTCGCAGCTTCTTGGCGGTCTTCCGCCCTCGGGGTGCGTTCCAGCAGCTGCGCCTGGACGAGAGCGGTTTGGGGGTGCTGGGATCGTCCCGAGCGGCCACCGGAGACTCGAGTTATGACCCGAGAATTGGGCTCGGTGGCGAGCGAGGGGGGAAGTGAGAAGGAGAAGGCTTGTGGAGGACGATCAATGGAGAGGGAGCATGCTGCCAAATAATTTCCAGATGCTTAAAACATGTATTAAACATGTTTAAAACATGTTTAGAGCACGTTCCTACATTTTGAACAGACTTTAAATTCAATGATAGGACTGTTAGGGTGTCGATTGTCGTGGCATCCACAAGAGAAGGCCTTCTCAGAAGGCGGTGGGGCTTCTCAGAAGCCTTTGGGCCTTCTAAGAGGTTTTCCGTGTTCCGAGCCTTCTGAGAGGGCCCGCCCCTTCTCTCTTCCCCCCCGTGCTGGCCGCCGACAGTATCGTTGAACCGATCCCCATCCCCATCCCAAGCCCCTCCATCCCACCACCGCAGTTGGGGATATGCCCCCCGAAACCCGAATGGAAAGCCTGTATCCCCATCTGGGGGGGTAAATCGGCCAGTGGGGCCCAGGCCATGCCAGTGGGGATATCCATCGTGCGGTGAAGCGATGAAACGATGCCCATATCCCCATATGAAACGATGCCCGTATCCCCATATGCCCACATCCCCATATGCCCATATTTCAATATGACTCGATGAAACGGTGAAACGATGAAACGATCAGACATTCTGAGTCGGTGAAACGATGCCCACATCCCCAGACCTCCGACGACCTGATTTGTTCCGTCGCGGGCGCTTTTCTGAGATCTCGACCCTTTGGGGGTCGCTTTCGGACACGGGGGCCACCAGAAGTGGATCCGAGGCGGAAAACTGGCCCAGGGAAGCGGTCGGGATGTCTGGGGCCGCGGGTTGGGCAAGGCATACCGGCGGCTGTCGGGCAGCGACTCGGCAGGAAGCGAACGGGTTGTGAGGGAAGCGTGTCTTGGAGGATGTGCCTCGTCTTCGGCCCCGATCTGGGGGTCCCCTCCTCGCTTCCTCGCCCGCGGTCTCGACTTGCCTGTTGTTTTCGCGTCCTCGTCTTCCTCGCGCTCGGGCCCCTGCCTCGCTCCCCTCGCTCTCGGTCTCGAGGCTCCCCTCGGGGCCTCGCTCTCCTCGCCCTCGCTGCTCCCTGGGGCCCCAGGGAGGCCCCTGCGCAGGCCTGCCCCCTGCGCAGCTTCTGGCCCCCGGGGCGGCCACAGGGGGCCCGGCATCGCTCGGGCGTGTGCACGTCTGCTTCGGCGAGGACCATTCGGGGAGCGTCCCGGGTCACCCTGCCAGAAATACACGGAATCAAAAAGCAACACGGGGAATCGACGTCCGAGCGATGGCGAGGGGGTCGGGGCCGCGGGCGGCGGGTGGCGCCGCCCGCGCCCGCCCGCCGCGCGGCAACGTCGGCCCGCCCCCGTCGGCCGCTCGGCGGCCGCGGGTGTGCCTCCCCGGCCCAGCGTTAGGTCGGGCCTGTCCCTCCACAGGGGGAAGATTCAGAAATAGGAAAACAATGGTCTGGGGACTATTTTTTGAGTATGTTTGGGCATCTTGTGGTTATTTTTTCAATATTTTGCATTCTTCGTCCGAAGTCCCCCTGTAGGGGGACAGGCCCGACCAAAGCCCAGCGGCCGACGCGCCCCACCTCGCGGCCCAGAGGCCAGGAGTGAGGAGCGTCCAGGCCGCGGGCCTCCACCGCGCCCGCCCGCCTCGAGGCCGCGCCCGCCCGCCGCGCAGCAGCGTCGGCGCGCCCCCGTCGACCTCTGCGCCTCAACCTCTGGGCCCATCGGCCGGCGCGCCCCGCCTCGGGGGGCGGCCAAGAGGGGGGTGACGACTAGGAGGGGGCGTGGATGTGATGTCACGGCGGGGGCCATTTGCATATCCTCAGGTGTTGTGGCGCCTCGTCCTGGTTCAGTACGCCCCCGCCCCCCCCCCCCCAGGCCGCGCGCGTGCCGCCGGCCATGACTTGTGCCCCCTCCCCCTCTTGGACGCCCTCCTCTTGGACGCCCCCGGCCATCGACGCGCCCCATCGGGCCGCAGCATCGTCGACGCGCCCCGTCGACGCGCCCCGTCGGCTGCGGGCATCGGCCTTCTGCTCGGCGGCGAGCGAGGGAGTAAGTCAGAAGGAGGATGCTCTCTCAAAAGGCGGTGGGGCTCCTCCTTTTAGGTTGCTGTTTCTCCACCGACTCACTGTCAGAGTCGAGTTTTGTTCTGAGTGGGAGTTTGTTCCCATGCGCTCGCCCTCTTCTAGAGGACCGCCCTCTCCTCTCCTTTTACTCGGCGGCGGGCGAGGGGGGGAAGTGAGAAGGAGCAGGCCCTCTCAGTTGGCGGCGGGCCCTATCAGAAGGCGGCGGGGCCTTCTAAGAGGTTTTCTGTGTCCTCGGGGAAGGCTTAGGACATTTATCAGAAGGCCAGAGGACCTCCGAGCCTTCTGAGGAGGCCCGCCCCTCCTCGCTTCCCCCCTGCGTTGCACCGACTCTGCCCAGCGGAGGCGCAGCGCCCGAAGGCATCGAGGGCCCCGTTCTTCCTGCGAGGACGACGGGGAACCGGCATCGACCCCAGCGCACCCACACGTCGCCAGAGGTGGCCTGGTGGCCCACCCCTCGGGAGCGCGTGGTCTCGCTGTCGGGGGGCACACCGCCGATCCGTCGGCGTGGTATCGCCGATTCCAGGTCGATGCCTCCCCCCTCCCCATGCCGTGGAGCCGGCAAGTCGGGGCCGTCCTCTCCTCCTCCTCCTCCTCCTCCTCCTCCTCCTCCTCCTCCTCCTCCTCCTCCTCCCTCCTCCCTCCTCCTCCTCCCTCCTCCTCCTCCCCCGATCGTCCCACCTCAGGCTATGGTGCTGCACTTCAGCTTGTCCTCCGCGTTCCAGTGGCCGGATCCCGAGAAGCGGCCTATCCTCCGGCCAGAGGTGCTTCGCGAGTCGGCCGGCGTCGACGACCAGACGAGGATCTCGAAAGCTTCGCGGAGCGAGCGCTGCAAAGGCGGCTCCACGACGGGCGATGCCGGGACATTGAGCAGTGCCTCCTCCGACGCAGGTCGGTCGGGTGGTTTGTGGGGGGTGACCCAAACGGGTGGTGAGAAAAGGCCCCCAGAGGGGCCCTTGAGGGCCCCTGTGGGGGCCAGCGGATGCCCCAAAGGGGCCCTAGAGGACCCCTATGTGCCCTTTCTCTTCACCCCCCCTCTGGGTCACCCCCCAATCAGCATGAAGTCGGGCCTGTCCTCTACAGGAGGAACGCTTAAACACAGTAAAAGAAAATCGTATGGGGACGATTTTTCCTCGTTTTTGTTTGTTTGTTGACTATTTTGACTATTCGTTTGACTCTCTCTCTCTCTCTCTCTCTCTCTCTCTCTATATATATATATATATATATATATATATATGTTGTCGCCCGATTTCTCGCCCGAAATCCGCCTGCAGGGGGCATGCCCGACCCAACCTTGGCACCCGCCCCGGCAGGCAGGAGCTCCGACTGGCCCGCCAGCCTCCCGCGCGAGCTCGCCCCCCGGGAGCTCGCCGAGCCCTCCCGGCCGCCTCCGCCGGCTCCCGCGGACGCCCCCGCCGCGCGCCCCGTGCCGGGGCTCGGCGAGGGCCGCCGCGGAGCCCCAGCCGCCACCGCCAGCGCAGGGGAGGAGCCTCGGGGAGCCCTTCGCCGAACGCGTTCCACGACTCGCAGAGTGCCTGCTCGCAAAATGTCCGAAAGCCATCGGGGGTGGACAGGCCTCCCACCCCGACACGTCCATTAGCGAATTTGCCGTTTTCGGTTCGCGAGAGGGCGTCGCGGCCGTCATTCTTGCGGGTCCAGGTCCGCCGGTTTTGGTCCCAGGCCGTTTTCACTAAAGGGAGGTTCACTAAAGGGAGGTTTGTCCACCGCCGAAGCCACTACTCACCGAGCGCGTTCCACTACTCGCAGAGTGCCTACTCTCTAGGCCTCCCAGATTGGGTCGGAGCAGATGGGGTCCGAGGATCGCCCCGCAGCGCCGATGCATCTGCGATGCGGCTTGATGCGGAGCCCGATTTGCTTCACGTCGACGTCGCCGATGCATCGCCCACGTCGACGATGCATCGCTGGCGATGCGGCGCGATCCTCCGACCCCATCTTCTCGTACCTCTTCAGGAGGCCTCTATACTCGCAAACGTCAGAAAGCCATACGTCTGCCTTTGTGTAACATATCGTAAATCCCCCGCGGCGGAGCCGGGCCACTTGCGAGCAGCGGAACGCGCTTGCCTAGCCTTGAGGCGGGGGTCAGTGCAAACGGGGGTCAGCCAGAGCGCGGGGTCTTGCGGGATCCTCCAGGGCGAGGGGCGCACCGTCCCGGGCTTGGGCGCAGGATGTTGCAGGGTCCTTCGCACTGACCCGGGTTTGGGCGCAGCATCTTGCAGGATTTTGCAAGGCTTAAGTCGGGCCCGTTCCTCTACAGGAGTCGAGCCGAACGAAAGGGGGGGGATAGGGAAGGGGGGGGTACGAAATCTGCTGCATGCAGCTGGTTTCGGCCCCGCCGCCGCCATTCCTCGATACATGGGCGCCTCCAGGCGCCAGGAGGCGCCGGGAAAATCAGCTACGTGAGCTGATTCTCAAATCCCCCCTTTGCTATCCCCTCCTTTCGCCCGGCCCGAAGGAGGAAGATTCAAAAAATAGTTTGGGATTTGTTTTTCAAGTATTTTTTGACCATTTGGGAGTATCTTTTGTCAATGATATGGAGATTGACCAGTCTTATTCTCCTTCCGCACGTAAGCTCCGCGGAATCGAGCAATATGAATGAGGTCTATGACCTCGCACAACCAGCTGATGAAATCAGGGAGTCGCCGCAAGGACAAACATCTGATAACGTGTCATCGCTGATAGCTCAAAAGGGGATCCCCTGAAATCATTGAGAGAAATGGCCACAACATCTATCATGCTGTCTCTTCTCTCCAACTGCTTATCTACTGCGTTTCTAGCTGCACATATACAGGCAAAGCACACCGATCTTCACACGGAGTATAAACTTTCCAGCTTAGAAACCAGAGATCAGCACCTTACAAAAAAAGGGCACTGCCGTCTCCATCACAGTCCACTCGGAACGGGCCAAACGCATCCGTTCACAAAGAAATTCAAAGACACACCACTTTAGAAACGAAATTCACTAGGTTTCGCCTCGCAGTAAGAGAGAATCCTCGTGACCAAATCTGCCTTGATTCCTGAAACTGGTAAACGCATCTCGCGAAGCATAGCCTGCAAATCACATACTCGCATACTCTCGAGTCTCCGACGTGCATCCGATCGGTCGTCCTCTATCATCGGACGGCGTCTGTCGATCGTCTGCACTGCAACGTGTGGTGTAGACGGGGATGGGAACAATCGCAGTAGACAACGCACTGTCCGCTTTCGCCTCTAACATTGATGTAGGATCAACTGTCCTCTGCAAACACTGCCACATACAAAGACACAAAACGATCATTATAATAATTCCAATCAGAAAACCTGTCATAAACGTCCCGGAAGGTGAAAGCACAAGCTTCGACAAATCGTCAAAGGGTTGAGCCACAGACGTTGAATTCTGGCAAATTGCTTGTTCCGATGCGGTTGTCACCGCAGTTATTGCTACAAGAGCTGGCACGGAATATCCAGACGAAAAGTTGCTGGCGAAAATTATTGCAGCAAACATGGCACGCGATGAGCGTGTCACAGATGTGCCAACTGCACTGCTCACTTCAGAATGGTACGCAAGCTCATGTACAACAATCCTTGCAATCTCGTCGTCAGCGCTGTAGTCCTTCGGTTTGGCGTAGCACGCATTCATCTCGTCGGCGTCCTCTTGTAGTTCAACTCGCTGTGCTCGCTGCGTTTCCTTCCAGGGATCTGTCAGCTTCCGTTTCCTGAGTGAAAGTGCTCGGGGATCCGGTCCGAACGTCCAGAGGTTCTCGTAGAAGACTCGGGCTTGGTATGGTGTGTCCATCTTCTTGGTAAGTCTGTCGGCAAGTTGCTGTTCGGATCGGAACCATTTGATACCTCCACGCTGGCATTCCTGCCTGATGATGGCTGCCTCCAGAGAAAGTCGACGATCTGATAAGTGAACACGCTCCTGAATGGCAATCTGTAAGCACATCTCTTTTCCACTCCTCAGCTGCTTTACGATACTCATGTCCAAGCCTACTAGCTGAGAAGATATCTGCACACACTGCACGTGTCCGAAAGCAAACATCTTGAGCTTCAGAACAGCTGTAAGCCTCTGCTGAAAGGATACTCCGTACTGCACGTCCAATGCGTCCGCTCGGCTATGCCAAGAGCATACATGTATACAGGTTCGTGTGGTCGTCCATCATATTGCCATCTCCCACCATGATATAAAAAAAACCACGTTGGCTATTTTGGTTTGGCATGTTGTCGAAGGATGCGTCGTGTGAAGCTATGATAACAGACTTCTCAGCATCAAATCCTCCACGGAAAACAGTCTCAGTCTTCCCCTCACGGCGGATAGACCTCACCAATCTATTCATATCCTTCATGTCCCGTGCCGTCGGCTTCGACATCTGGCCAGCAAGCCGCGATGCCTCGAAAATGTACTTATGAAGCGGCAGTCGTACCACCCAGTGAACTTGTCCATTCATGCCACGAAGCGCTCGATGTTCAGCAGCGGTAAGTAGCTCCTTCTTCTGCTTTGCCCTTTTCACGGGGCATCCGGTAGTCCGTCATCGCATCGATGTAGTTGTCCATGTCGATGGTGAAATCATAGTCCTTGTTCTGCTGGATGCGTCGTCCAGTAAACGTAGCTCCTTCTGGTGCGTTCTATAGATCATGCCAGTCTCCAAACTCCACCTGGCCCCTCAACTGCTGAATCACGTGATCACAGAACTCCTTGTTGTTCTCCATGTCGACCGCCATGAGCATGGCATCGACGTGGAGGCGTACTAATCCAACCAACTTCCCCTGATTCATCAATTTGAAGGCGTCAGTCTCAAACTGCAGCTGCTCGAAGCCGTTGTCTCGCAGAATCTGGAAAATCCTCTTGTGCCAGGCCCCTGCCGCGTCGTCGGCGCCATAGATGCTCTTGTTGAGCTTGAGTAGGCTTCCCCCTTCGATTCCAGGTATGCTCATGCCCTGCAAGTTCTGGGGCATCTTGGAATAAAACCCCCTCTCAATCTCGACCCCCTGCAGAGAAGCTCCAGTAGCATCGCCAGTATAACGTGGAAACCGCTTGCACGCGGCAATGCTGCATAAAAGGTTCTGCATGAAGGGTGAGCATGTCGGTGGATTTCTTCGTAGCTTCTCATCGTACTTCCCCTGGAAACCTTTCCCCACAATGCGACATTTGGGCTGGATGTTAGCGTCGTGATCACGGCCCTTGTTCGTCCATGCAGTTCGGCTCTCGATCTGTAGCGACTCATCGGTCTTCTTGGCCGTTGTCGGTGAAATCACTGTCACAGCGTCGTACTTGTTCCAAGTACTCCACTCTTTGATAAGTGCGTTGAGACACTTCTTGGCACGTTCTCGGGTATATCCGTCACCACGATTGATTGCCTCCTTTATGTCCAGCTCGCCCTTCGATACTCGGTCAGCTTGTTCAGCCGCGAAAGCTTCACATGACCGCGTTGGTGGCATAGGCGGTACGCGATCTCTTGTTGTTCTCGGTGACCGTGGTGTTGCGACCAATGTGGGTTCGCCTTCCGTGCACAGTCTGGGATGCTGGCGTCTTCCTTGCTAGTCTCGGTCGTCCAGCGCGCTCTGTCTCACCTTGTTCACGATTCGCATGTTGGCGAGTTCGTCGTCGTTTTCGTGCGTCTTGTTTTTCTGGTGCTGCGCGAGGCTGAGGTCCATCGTCGCTCGATCCAGACGGCGCGCTGGGTCTTGCCGCTGATGTTGGAGGTGGTGCCGGATTGTCCGGTCCAAACGATTGAGGTAGTCTTTGAGGTTCAGTATTTTTGGGAAACCGGTCTTGTCGAACAAAATCTAGGTTTTGTTTTTGTCCATTGGAAGGATCACTCTTAGTCCGATACGTATACTCCACCACAGCATCTTCCATATCCATATCACGTACCAGAGGAACCACAAAGGGTACTTCTAGACTGTTACGAGAAAAATCCCCACGCAGGGCCTTCGTGTCGCAGTCGAATATACGTCGCCGGAGAAGCCCGTCTCGAGGAATAACGTCTTCCCCTGGTAGTGGTGTCATCATACATCGTGTAATCCTTGTCGCCAGAACTGCGTCATATGGACCGCGGGGCTGTGCTCCAATGATCATCTCCCATGTGCTTGGTATACTCCATGATCCTTCTGGCCACTCAGCTTGCACACGACGTCGTTGTGTCGGCGGTTGATTATCTGCGTCATCAGGTTATTGATCTGGTGCTCCCTCCACACTCGGAGGGTCCTGTTCGGGTTGGTCAGGGTCTGTTGGTGGTTGAGACTGAGGTTCCCGTGGAGGCTGCGGTTGTAGTCCTGGCTGCAAGGGCTTTCGCATCGGCACAAACGTCGTCTTCCGAAGATCAATGAAACCGCGCTGACCATGAGGAACTCCTTGCCACTCACGCTGATCGCCAGGATTACGATCCTCAATCTCATTGATCGTTAATATCCTCAAGATGTTCGGCCCAGCCAAAATCGGGCCACCGTTGAGAATCAACCAATATCCAAGCTGATCCTTGCCAATCACTCGAGCTGGTCCTTGCCACTTCCGATGTAGGTCGCGTTTGCCTCCACTTGTGCGCCAATAGTGAACCCATTCACCTCGCTCGATAGGTCCAGGCTGATGTCGTGTCTTTGAGAGCACAGCTCGTCGTAGGGCTAAACTGTTGGCTGACTGGTGGAACACAATCTCACAAGCTTCTTGGAGTCGCAGTCGGCGCCGCACGAGGGACCCTTGAGTGAGTTGTCCAGCAACCACGGGATCGGCATTGATATCTCCGAGAGATGCGGGGTTCTCGCCAAGCGCCCACTGCGCTGGGCTGAATCCTTTGTTGTTGGCGAGTCGGTTTCATAGTCTGAGCAATCTGGTTTCCGGCAACTCGGGCACTCTCGTCATCTCTGACTTCCAGCTCGCGAAAAACCTTAGTGGCCATCTCTTTGAAGAAACGGATCTTGCGTCAACCTTCCCTTGTTGGCGATGCTCTTCAGGAGCAACTGGAATACATGGCACTCCAAGATCCTGGCGCATAGTCTCTAACTCTAGGCGAAAAGCTGCGCCCTGGTCAATCAGCATCCTTTCCGGCGTGAGCAGATTGCGTTGCCAGCCTTCCGTGAAAGCGATCTTCGCGTGCGCTGACGTTGGACTTGGCTTCCGACCTCCACCGCTGATCATCCATTGAAGTGCTGTAAAGTCGGTAGCAAGGCCAAGCATAACCAAGAAATCATGCATATTCCCACCCAAGTCTAGTAAATATGCAATGCCCATGCCCAGACACTGATTGAATCGCATTCACTTCGGCAGGTTTGCAAAAGGATGTGCTGGCGGTCGCTGTTGAGAATCACATAGCTCACACTTAAAAATCTTGGCCGCTGAGGTCGCTGCTGGTGATCCTCCACCTGTCCGACTGTGTCGGGCAAACTCTTCACCGCGTAGAGCATGGGAAATTTGGACCTGCAACTTCTTGATCGCTGCCTTGAGTGCTGCCGGCATTCGATGTTAATCGGTGTAGGTGTCCGCATTCGCGCCCATAATGACTCCTGAGCTTGATGTGAAACCTGTGGCGGGGTATGTGTCAACGGTGTTGGGAACTCCCAGGATAGTCTCGCCTCCTAGTAGCTTCTCGAATTCATGTTGTTGCTTGACATATTCGAGAATCCGCTCAGCCATATCTGTTGTCCATATTGAAAAAACACGTGCAATGCCACCACGTCATTGAACTTGACCATGTCCGTGATCTCGTGAACACCGGATTTTAAGTGCATATGCCAGCGCCACTGCTGGCGTCACGAATATCGTTGGTTTTTCAAGTAGATCTCCACGATCATCTCGCAAATCAAAGGCATATTGGTCAAATCGAACCCAAATCAATCCAGGTGGCAGCTCATCCTTGATGAGGTTCCACACTTGTGAACACAGAGGGTTCTCCAGTAGTTCATGACGTCCGTGCTCCATCCGATGCCTGACAATTGCGAGCGCAAGCTGAACATGCGCGAATGTCTTGGCTGGGCGTCGTCGTCTCTCCTTCGGTGGAAAGAAGTTGTTGATTGCTGGCCACGCGTCGCAAGGAAACGGCACGATCATGAGATATGGGTCTGCAGATACAAGTTCCCTCATCGTCTCTGCCTGCACACTGGGTAGTAGTAGATCATCGCCTGTAGTACGTAGATCCTTGCATTTTCTGGTTATCATACCAAACTCCGTCGCCAGACAAGGAACAGCACACTGACCGCCGTAAATCTCCTTGACCACCGTCCCAGGAATATGCAGACGATGTCGATCAACACGTAGAACACTCCACGTAGCTTTCATCTTTCGTTCATGGTCGGCTATCCACGTATCCACTTGTTTCCTCCGGGATGTCGTCATGATGCCGATGTTTGCTTGCATGATATTGCTGCTCTGCGTCTGGTTTGATTCGTCCTCTACTGCTGCCCAGACGTCCAGCGTCTTCGTACTGATGGTAGGTGCTTCCTCATGTGTCGTCGTCTTCGGAAAGTCCGTGATATTGACCATCAAGTGATTCTTCTTCGAACGTGTGATCTTCATTGGCATGTCTGAAATCGCTCTGAAGATCACCTGATTGTGTTTCACACTAATGAGCGTGTCCAGGGCGTCCATCTGGTCGACACTCATGAGCATCGGTGCGTCGGAGTTCGGCAACCTCTCGAAGTTGAGCGTGCAGTCTCGTCCTTGAATGTCACTCGGTACTGCCTGAATACTTTCTGCCCTGACCAGGGCGGATGTATTGATGCCTTTGAAGATTGTCATGCTGTGCATCTGTAGGTCTGCTAGCTCGAACTTCTCTAGGTGCTTGGCGATAGCTCTGTCGCCGCCGATCGGAGCCAGAGCCGCAGTGTCCAGGACCACGTAGCCCGGGGGTGCCACCTGCTCTGCCACCATAGTGTCGACTATTTTTCGCTGATGTCAGTGATCGTCCTGATCGGGTCATCGGGCTGGCTCGTGATAGGCACCATCATGATGCTCTCCTGCTGATGTCCAGCTCCCGATGCTAGCATAGCCGCTGCCAGACCAGTACTTGCCAGAAATCCTCCAGCTCGTCCTCGTCCAGCTCCTCGTCCTGATCCTTTCGGCTTCTGGCTGGCTGCCTTCCTTGTCTTGCTGCGCTCTGGGTCGCCAGCCCAGTGTCCTACTGCATGGCATGCACTGCACTTGCTTTCTTTCTGGAAGGCGCCGAGCTTGTCTTGAAGCTCCTTGGTGCCGAAACTAATCTTGCCATCGAAGTCGATGTAGGTCTTGCCTTGTCGAAAACCTCGATTCGTCTTGCCATCTTTGATGAACTGTCGTTGCCGGCTGTAGTTCGATGAGCTCGGTCTTCTTTTGCCACGTCCACGTCTTTTTGCCGCGACTTCTCCAACTACCTGTTTTGCCTCTGCCGCAAACGTCTGTACTTATTCTTCTTCTTCCGATAGGTCTGCGACGCCCACAGCCGCAAAAGCCGTCTCGAGCTCCTCCACTTCCGCCGACAAAATCGCCATCTCATTGTCTTCATCCTCGTAGTCCTCTTCTCCGTGATCCTCCTCGGCTTCGTCACCCTCGATCTCCTCAGGATCCGCGCCGAAGGCTGCGTTCCACCTGAACCGTCGTCCTCCGCCATCGCGCTTGTGATCTCGGCCACCTCGAGCGTCGATGCTGTCTAGCTGGGTCTCGAGGATGTGGCATATCGCGTCCCAGTCATACTCATTCTGAGCCTGGCCCAGAAACGTCTTGTGCTGAGCCTCCGTAATACCACACATGTCTAGCAAGAAAAACGTTCTGAGATCCTCCGACACTTGAGTTTGACCGTTCGTGAGGTCTCTCAGCTTCTCATATGCATCCGTTCGCCGTTGGATGAAGTCCTTTATCGGCCCTCCTGGCTTCTGGTGTCCACGTCTGAAATAGTCTAAAAACGCCTTATGCTTCTGCAGCGGGGCCAGTTTCTCCACATGTGAGCGTAAACACTTGATGAGGATGTCGAGTGCTTGTCCAACAGCCGCTTCTTTCTCCGCCGGAGTGTGCCCTTTTTGAAACTGCTCGGTCAAGGCTTTGACGCTGATCTTCTCGTCTGCGTGACACAGCGCCCACGCTCGCCCGCTGAGGCCATTCTTGACTTTGGCGATGAAACCCTTCTTCTTCTCGGCACTCTCCATTCCCAAGAATCCGAGCCGCACTCTCTCATCCAATTATTCCGCTGTTGCCGCATCTCCATCAAAACAAGGAATGCCGTCTTTATCCAACCATACGTGTGATCTTGGATCTCGATTGTTAGCCATCGTGAAATCTGACCTGCTCTCAATGAAGTCTGACCTGCTCTCGAGGAAATCTAAAGTGCTCCCGAGGAAGTCTGAACTGCTCTCGAGGAAATCGTACTGCTGCGTAGACTCGAAATCACGCACACGATCACAGGATAGACTCTCACCCCAACAATAGTACTTGCCTGTCCGCAAAGACCACGTCTTGACAATAACAATGAAAAAGACGAACCAATTCAGCATAGGCCGTCCTTCGTTGACTGCTCCGCTATGAGTGTCAATGATATGGATATTGACCAGTCTTATTCTCCTTCCGCACGTAAGCTCCGCGGAATCGAGCAATATGAATGAGGTCTATGACCTCGCACAACCAGCTGATGAAATCAGGGAATCGCCGCAAGGACAAACATCTGATAACGTGTTATCGCTGATAGCTCAAAAGGGGATCCCCTTAAATCATTGAGAGAAATGGCCACAACATCTATCATGCTGTCTCTACTCTCCAACTGTTTATCTGCTGCGTTTCTAGCTGCACAGATACGGGCAAAACACACCCATCTTCACACTTTGGAGTATTTCTTGTGTGTTCGTCGAAAATGCCCCTGTAGGGGGACACGGGCCCGACTGACCTGGGTCCGCATTGACCCAGGTCAGAAGATCCCCGAGAGGAGCCGACCGCTGCCGCCCGCACGCCGCTCCGCCGCCAGGCGGCTGCTTTTGTCCCTGCCGGTGCAGCGACGGCCAGGGAGCCTGCGGCCCAGGGGGCCCAGGGCCAGGTCGGCAGCAGGGCTCGAGAGGGAGGGAGGGGACGGCACGAGCGCGGGCTCTCGGAGCTCCGCGCGGGGTTCTGGGGCTGGGCGTGGGGCCCCTTTGGGTGGCGCCTCGGGCGCAGCCCACGGCCCGCTCCGCACGGCAGGGGGGGGGGCTCCGGCGCCGATGCAGGAAGCTTGCGCGTACCTCCGAAGCTTTGGGTTTATGCGGTTTTTTCCCCAACCACCCTGTGGTGTTGGTCCTCGCTTTGAAGAGACAGCGCCCCGCATCCAACCTCTCCTCCTCCTCCTCCTCCTCCTCCTCCTCCTCCTTCTCCCCCTCCTCCTAATTCCCTCCCCCTCCTCCCTCCTCCCACCCCTTGCCTCTGCACTCCGCATGTTTTCGTGCTCGTCTCCCCCACCCAGCACGGCGTTTCGTGGCCCCACAGGGAGCTCCACCTAAGGCCCCAATGGCGGTGTCCACATGCGTCTCCCCCACCCAGCACAGCGTTTCGTGGCCCCAGAGGGAGCTCCACCTAAGGCCTCAGTGGCGGTGTCCACGTGCGTCGCCCCCTACACAGCACAGCGTTTCGTGGCCCCAGAGGGAGCTCCGCCTAAGGCACCAGTGGCGGTGTCCACGTGCGTCGCCCCCTACACAGCACAGCGTTTCGTGGCCCCAGAGGGAGCTCCGCCTAAGGCACCAGTGGCGGTGTCCACATGCGTCTCCCCCACCCAACGCCGCGACTCGTGGCCCCAGTTTCGTGGCCCCATAGGGGAACTCCACCTAAAGCCCCAGTGGAGGTGTCCACATGCGTCTCCCCCACCCAGTACGGCGCGTCGGCCCCATAGGGAGCTCCACCTACTGCCCCAGTGGCGGTGTCCACACGTCTCCCCCACCTAGCACAGCGTTTCGTTTCGTGGCCCCATAGGGAGCTCCACATAAGGCCCCAGTTGCGCTGTCCACGTGCCCACCGAGCACGGCGCGTCGTGGTCCCATATGGAGCTCCACTTAAGGCCCCAGTGGCGGTGTCCACATGCGTCTCCCCCACCCAGCACGGCGTTTCTTGGCCCCATGGTGAGGCCCGAGAGGCGGTGTCCACCTGCGTCCTTGCACCCAGCACCGCGCTTCGTTGCCCCATGGGGAATGCCACCTAAGGCCCCAGTGGCTGTGTCTACGTGCGTCTCCCCACTCAGTACAGCATTTCGTGGCCCCATAGGGAGCTCCACCTACTGCCCCAGTGGCGGTGTCCACGTGCGTCTCCCCACTGTGTACAGCACTTCGTGGCCCCATAGGGAGCTCCACCGAAGGCCCCAGTGGCGGTGCCCACATGCGTCTCCCCCACCCAGCACAGTGTTTCGTGGCCCCATAGGTGGCTCCACCGAAGGCCCCAGTGGCGGTGTTCACATGCGCCTCCCCCTCCCAGCACAGCGTTTCGTGGCCCATAAGGAACTCCACCGAAGACCCCAGTGGCAAAGTTCGCATGCGTCCCCCCGCCCAGTATAGCATTTTGGTGCCCATCGTAGACGATACCGAAGACGATGACCACAACGGCGGTACTCAATTGCATCTGGTCGGGTCCTTCGCCAGGCTAATTTCCCAACCATCGTTTGGTGTTGGATCCTCGTTTTGGAGAAAGAGCACCCCGCGATCCCGCTCATCTTCACGCCCCCTCCCCCTCCTCCCTCCTCTCATCCCTTGCCTCTGCCCTCCGCATGTCCTTCACCAGGTGCTCTACGGGTCCGCATGCAGTTTCACCTCCATTTCGGCGCAGCCCCATAGGGTGCTCCACCGAAGGCCCCAGTGGCAGGGTCCGCATGCAGTTCCACTTCCATTTCGGCGCACCCCTAACACGTTTCGTGGCCCCACAGGGTGCTCCGCAGAAGGCTCCAGTGGCAGGGTCCGCATGCAGTTCCACGTTCATTTCGGCGCACCCCTCACACGTTTCGTGGCCCCATTCGGTGTTGTACCGACGTCCCCAGTGGCAGGGTCCGCATGCAGTTCCACTTCCATTTCGGCGCACCCCTCACACGTTTCTTGGCCCCATAGGGTGCTCCACCCGGGCCTCAGCGGCAGGGTCCGCATGCAGTTCCACTTCCATTTCGGCGCACCCCTCACACGTTTCTTGGCCCCATAGGGTGCTCCACCCGGGCCTCAGTGGCAGGATCCGTGTGCAGTGCCGACTCCATTTCGGCGCACCATTCAAGCGCTACGTGGCCCCACATGGTGCTCCACCGAAGTCCCCAGTGGCAGGGTCCGCATGCAGTTCCACGTTCATTTTGGCGCACCCCTCACACGTTTCATGGCCCCATAGGGTGCTCCTCCGAAGGCCCTAGTGGCAGGGCCCGCATGAAGTTCCACATCCATCCCGGCGCACTCCTCATGCGTTTCGTGACCCCACAGGATGCTCCACCGAAGGCTCCACGTGGCAGGGCCCGCTTGCAGCTTCACCTCCACGTCGGGGCACCCCTCTCACGTGTCGTGGCCCCGTACGGTGCTCCACCGAGGGCCCCAGCGGCAGTGCCCGCGTGCCGCCGCCAGCCCACTCCGGCGCACCCCTCGCACGTTTCGCGCCCCCACGGGGAGCTCCACCGAGGACGATGCTCACGACTGCGGCACTCACGATTGCGTATTGTTGGGTCCTTCGCCAGGCGAGTTCTTGCTCCGACGGCCAGGGTGTCTCCCAGCAGGTGGCGAGCAAGAAGCGCACCACAGTGATCATGAGCAACATGCCTCTTTCCTTCACGCAGGAAGATCTGTTCGTCTTGCTGGACTCCGAGGGGTTCTTGCATAAGGTGGACTTTCTGTATCTGCCCATCAATCTCACGACCATGTTCGGCATTGGCTGCGCAATTGTCAACCTCACTACGCGCGAGCACGCGAAGGAGTTCGCTCGAGTCTTTGATGGTTTCTCTGATTGGGGCTCCGAGAGTTCGCCCGCGTGTCGTGTACGCTGGAGCGAAGTCCAGGGCCGCGCGGCGAACATGCAGCGCCTTCAGAATAGTCCCGTCATGAGTGCTTCGGTGCCGAGCTCATGCAAGCCACTCCTGCTCGAGGACGGCCTGCTAATCCCATTTCCAGGGCCTGTTCAGGCGTCTTGCACCGAGCTCAATAAGACGCGTAATCTCAAAACGGTTTAGGCGAAGTTCGACGCCAGCAGGGATGCGCATGTAGGGTTGCTTTCGTGGTAGAGCGTTTCGTGACCACCAGTTCGCCGTTGTACCTTCAAACTAGCCCCATGGCTTTCCCTTGACCGTCCGCACTGCAGCATGAACATGGATCCACGAGTTCAAAATAACATCAACTATGTAAGATAGCGTCGTGTGAATCCTCGTGCCCTGGGGCAGCACGCTTTTCCAGAACCCCCCTCAGGTACCCGCTTTCGCCCCCGGGGTTCGGGGCTCCTTTTCGGAGCCTTGTGAGGAATATTGCGAAGGCCTTACGACCAGTGCCGCCGACCCTGAATGACGACGACGACGACGACGATGACGACGACGAGAGGACGAGGACGCGAAATACGTAGAACAACTGAATGAAAATCATAGATGTTCGCCTCCTGGGGCCTTCTTGGGGGTACTCTTGGGGGCGTCTTAGAGGTTTCTGAGGACGTCTTAAGGACATCTTTGGCCGTCTTGGAGCGATCTTGGGCTGTTTCAGAGTCCTCTCGGAGCAAGGCGCGGTACAAGGGAGCTCGGGGCGTCTGAGAGGCAAGAAATCGAAGGGGCAAGCTTCTCCCAGGGAGGGTTGCCCCTTCCCAGGCGGGGGTCGCAGCCCCCGGGACCCCCTCCCAGGACGTCCCCCCAGCGAGGGGGGGCTCAAAGGGAAGGGGCTTCCGTTTGACTCGATTACGACGTTGCTTGATTTCACTTTGGCTGGAAAACTTCAGAAGGAGGGCCCAGGGAAAGGGGGTGAGCGACGACGATGGCGGCGACGACGACGACTCCAACGGAAAAGCGTCAAGGAGCGGAGCGTTGACGACGACGACGGAGAAGTCTCTGACACATGCTGACAGGGTCGGCGGGCATTCCCGTTGCGACGGATTGTACTTTTGAAGCGCTCCAGTTCTCAGACAGCCTGCGCCTAGCCGGAACAACTACGACCCAGTACAGTGGAGACCCATGCCAAGAAACACCCTGCTTGCCACCAGGGTGCCCTGGGTTTCTTGGGTTTCGATGGTTTTGCGATGGACAGCGTGACGTGCCCACACCAAAAATCGATGGACATCCTGGGGTCTCAGGGTTGGGTTTCTTGTGGAAGGTTTCTTGTGGACTGGCCTCCTCTGTATCGAACGATCCGCGCTGTCGGAGAGCCGCGATCGTTCAAGGTTGAATGATCCACGCGGTGTCAGAAAGCAGCGCCCACGTCGGTACGACCGGCACCTGCCGTGGGCCATGCTGGAAGTGTGGATTCCAGATCAGGCTCCCGAGGCTTCTAGAGAGAAGTCACGCGACAGGCCCGGGGAAGGCGCGGCCGCGCCGCCAGTTCTTTTTGGGCTCGTTGATTGAGAAGCGCTTGCGATACTCCATGCAAGTAGCTCGGAGCGACCCGCGGCACTGTGGCGGATGCACTTGCGAATAAAGGGGATGTGGAAGTTGCCTGAGGAAGATGGCGCCGTCCTGGCTGGTGGGAACACCCGCGCCTCTCCTGCTCTCACCTCACTGTGCGCTGCCCTGAAGGCTCACGCGTCTCTGGGGGGCATCCCGACTCAGAGTGCGGGCTTTGTCCCCCAGGGGGTGGGCGTAGCAGGCTGGCCCTATGGCACGTCCATCCCTCTCACGTTGCCCGCGAATCCGCGGCTAAGCCAGCGAACAGGCAGATGCCGCTGGCGTACAGACCTCCGAGCATCGAGGACAGTGGCATCAGCAGCAAAGCGACGCAATACTATGATAAGTTCCCTGGGCGGCGGAAAACAACCATACATATGCCTTAATCCAGGCACGATCCCCGTCAAAGCCCTGCCGACGTCTTGACGGACGAGCGCCATTTGTCCGGCATCTGGGAGGAAGACAGCCATGTGGCCACATGAGATGGGCGTGTGTAAGCATTCCCAGGGAAATGCGATGCTCAGCTTCGTATATATTGCAAAGTCTTGGATCAAACTATTGTCAGCCGCTGGTACACCAGCTTGGCATCGCTCCGATGTGTGCATTCTATCTTGGCGAGGACCATCGAGGAGCATCTTCGACCATCGAGCAAACAAGCGCGCACGAAATAGACAAATGCACGTGGAATGGACGTCCGAGCGATGACAAGACAGGCGGGTGCCGAGGTCGGCGCCGGAGGCGGTGAGGTCAGCCCGAGCCCCAAAGTGCACGAAACACCGCATGAAATCCACGGGAAGTTTAAATTCAATCCGCATTCGTCGAAGAACCAGCGGCACAAACATCAATTTTCGGTGCTTCGCGCGGATCTCTTGGAATTGCGCTCGCCCCACTGGCGGCGCCTCTGGCGCCGCCCCTGGCGCGTTCCGCGCGCTCTGGAGGGGGTCAAGCGCGAGTCCAAGAAAGTCGGGCGGATTTGTAAAGAATTATGTGTACAATCGACCCGCATGGTAAGGATGAGCAACCTCCGCAAGGGTACCGTTGCATCCTTGCATCCTCGCTCCATCCTTGGCCACTTTCGTTGGCCGCATCCCGCTCGAAAAGCTTCGAAATGGGCGTCCAAGGCCGTTGCATCCTTCTCGCGCATCCTTTTGATACGGGCCGACTGTATGCCGTCTTTTGTTCCTCTAAACACGCGTCCGCCAAGTCGTCCCCAGTGGTGCTTGGTCTGTTCGAGATGATGCACGGAGTGCTTGGTGTTGCACGGTGCGGCAGCGGGCACCTTCCAGCCTGAAGCAGCTTCACACAGCGCGGGCATGTTAAATCCTCGCATCCTGAAGTCTCGCATGTGAAATCCTCGCATGTTAAATCCTCGCGCGTTGAAGCCCTCTGTGCGGGCGATCCGTGCGATAGCGCGAGAGCCAGCACGCGAAGCTCTGGGCAGCCGCAGCTGAGCAGATGTGCGCTGCCCCAGCCCTGGGCTCTTCTTGCTGCTGCTGCTGCTGCTGCTGCTGCTGCTGCTGCTCACCCTTCTCTCCAAGCTTCCCGCCCGCTCCTCGTCCTCCGGGCCTCCTGGCCCTCCGTTGTTGTTTCCTCGTCCTCCGAAGCAGACTCCGAGTATCGCGCTGCATACCGAAGCGTGCCCGCTCCTCTGCCTCCTCGCCCCCTCATCCCTTCCCCTTTCCTCTACCTAACCCCGAGCCTTCTCCGGCTCCTCCGGCTCCTCCGGCTCGTCCGGCTCCTCCTCCTCCTCCTCCTCCTCCTCCTCCTCCTCCTCCTCCTCCTCCCTCCCTCCCTCCCTCCCTCCCTCCCTCCCTCCCTCCCTCCCTCCCCTCCCTCCTCCCTGCCCCCCTCTCTCCTCCTCCTCTCCTCCTCTCGTCGTCTCTCCTCCTCCTGCTCCTCCTCCTCCTCCTCTCCTCCCTGCCCTCCTCTTTCTCCTCCTCCTCCTCCTCCTTCTCCTCCTCCCTTCCTCCCTCCTTCCTCCCTCCTCCTCATCGTTCTTGCAGGAGGATAAGAGGGGGCGCAGGGGAGGATGCGCAGTGGCGCCGCCCCCGGCAGTGGCGCCGAACCACGTCTTGCGCTCCGGATCTGTCCGCGGTCCGATCGGTTTTGGTGCCCGAATCGCGAATCGCTCCGAACGTCCGCCAGAGGCCCGAGTCATGATCCCAAAGCCAGAGTCGGCGGCACGCCCACAGTGGAGACCCATGCCAAGAAACAGCCTGCTTGTCCCCAGGGTGTCCTGGCACCCTGGGGGCAAGCACCACAGTCTGGGGTTGGGGGTTTGGGGGGGGGCGCAACGTCATGCCCCTCCCGTCACCCCCCCTCCCCCCCATAACGCCCCTTATGGCCGCGAATAGAGTGGAGACCCATGCCAAGAAGCACCCTGCTTGCCCCCAGGGTGCCCTGGGTTTCTTGGGTTTCGACGGCTTTGATATGGAAGCCGTGACGTTCCCACACCAAAAACCCATGAACGTCCTGTGGTCTCAGGGTCGGGTTTTTGTGGAAGGTTTCTTAAGATCGGGCCTCCACTGCAGGGGAGATGGCAGAATGGGGGCGGGCCGTCTCAGAATGGCTCCGACGGCCGCCGTCCTTCTGAGAAGCTTCCCGAGCTGTCTCTCAGGCCACGGAGGGCTTCTCGGAGGGCTTCCGAGAAGCCCCGCCGCCTGCCAAGGAGGCCTACCCCCTCTCTCCCCCCCTGGGGCGCCTCCTCTTGCTCCTTCTCCTCCTGCTCCTCCTCCTCCTCCTCCTCCTCCTCCTCCTCCTCGGGCCAGTATACATTCTGCGATCGGTGCGGTGTGTTCTCGAGCGAGAGGGGGTGCAAGCTCTTGGCTGCCTGCGTGGGGGCCCCTGCGAACCCCACCGCAGGGTACCGCCTCTCGCTCCTGCGCCGAGGCAAAAATCCTTACGCAGTGAAGGTCTCCCTGGAGGCAGAGCCGCGCTCCCTTGTACAGGAGGCGTGCGCAGCTTTTTGGGAGCGCCTCATGGACTGATCAGGAAGGGGCGGGATGGCACCCCGAGGTGGAGTGCCCGCCCATCCGACTCACATGTGGCGAGCTGGGGCGGGGACCGCCAGGCATCGTTCTTGCAGCAAAAACCTCCCCCTCCTCCTCCTCCTCCTCCTCCTCCTCCTCCTCCTCCTCCCCGTCCTCCTCCTCCTCCTCCTCCTCCTCCTCCTCCTCCCCTCTTCCTCCTCCTCCTTTCCTCCTCCTCCGCCTCCTCCTCCTCCTCCCTCCTCCTCCCCTCCTCCTCCCCTCCTCCTCCTCCTCCTCCCTCCTCCTCCCCCTCTCGCTTCCTCCCGCGGCGCGCCGCTAAACCAAAGCCCCCCCGAGGGGGGGGGGGGCGAAGGGAGAACCGCGCGTCGCGGCCTGTGCCAGAGCGGCTGCCTTTCTCCAGTGGAGTGGCGAGGTGGCGCGAAGAGAGTCGCGTATCGCGGGGCGCGGGCTGCATCGATGGATTCCACTGCGCTCCCCCACGGCGACTCTGTGGCTCCACGAGTGGGGCTCAGCTCCGCCAACCTGGTCAAGCGGGCGGTTCGATCGATTTGTGATTATGGGCAGCTTTTGCACGGCCGTGGGAATTCCAACAAGTCTGGGATGCAGTGGCCAATTTTCTTTCTTCTGCAGCAGGTTGCTCTCGCTGAGCAGCATCCCCCTTCCATTTTACTGCGGTAGCCACAACGTGTTTTTATATGCGCGAACAATTGCAAATGGACAGCGCAGGAGTCGGAGGGCTGAAGCGATTCCAAGGTGGTCTTCTAGATTTCTGACATTGAGACAGACACAGCCGCATATGTGGTCATGGCACCCGCCACTACAAATGCTCGCCGATACTATGTAAGATATATCGAGTGAGTCTCCGCCTATTTCCGAATTGTTTCCAAGGGACATCATTGTATTGCAGAGGTAGGAAACGGACCTGGGTCATGGATGGCATGGACATGTTGTTGTTCCTATGTTATGTGTCTACGATGTGCGTCACGAAAATATGACTCGCCGTGGCGAATATCCACTACCCTGGGCCCCCTTCTCACATGTCGATTGTGGATCGACCTTATTCGGATCGAGAGCCGTGTCACGAGCTGGCGCAGAGAGTTGCTGTCGCAGTGTCCGCTCGCTCAAATCGTAAGCGTGACCATCTGAGTTCAATACACCGGGTCTTGACGGCCCCAGGCTCCTGTACTGGCAGCGTCAACAGCAATCTCATACCCCCTCCTCCCCCCTACGTTCCGTTTTTCTTCCCTACCCCTTCCCCGTCCAGTCCTTTCTCCCTCTCTCCCTCGCTCCTTCCACTCCCGCTTTCTACGTAGTCATCCCCCTTAGCCCCTCCATGATTTCCACCTTCCTCTTCGACCCTTTCCCCTTCAGTCTGGCGGCCCAGGTGCATCGAAGGCATCGAGCAGTACATTCCTCCCTGGGATGCATTTTGCCACCCGCAGTGCGGCGTTTATCAGGACGGGCTGATGAGTTCTGCTTAGATACTCTGATGAAGCCTGGAGATGAGAAGGCGGGAGAGGAGGAGGAGGAGGAGGAGGAGGAGGAGGAGGAGGAGGAGGGAAGGAGGAGGAGCAGGAGGAGGAGGAGCAGAAGGAGGACTCCAGGGAAACTTCCGAATGGCTCAATTCACCCTGTCTTCCGTTAGAGCACGTCGATGTCAGAATCTCTCGGGGGGGGGGTGAATGGCGACAGTAACACTTGGCTGGGGGGTGGGTTCACGAACCTCACGCTATTATATACAATCACGCACTCGGGTTCTAGATCAGTGGGCTTGCGTTTTTTGTTTACACTGCTACCCTAGAAGCCGGGCTCAGGACGGAGTGTCTTGGTTCTCAGTCTTTCAATGCCACCAGTAGGTCGTATTTGGACAGGTTTCATCGGGGGAATGTCCCCAAGGCTTTGAGTGCTGCCGAACGGACAGCACACCAGCAACCCCTCAAGGGTAGTTAGTTCATTATTATTGATACCGTCATGTAGCTATTCCTATTCCTCGCCCTCCCTTGGAGGATGTAGCTTGGGTTGCAAGCGCTCCATTCTAGCTACAGGTGGCAGCTACTTTGGCTATATGTGTTTGCGTTTTTCAGTGGGGAGCATCCGGGGGGGGGAGAGGCTCAGAGGATCGGCGATAGGCCGCTTTTGCAAATCCGCACAGTCCTGAGATGGGTGGGTCATCGGGCACTCGATTAAGGTCCAGGCCCAACTGGCGTGCATGTGTCTGGGGTTTCAGGAGGATTGGCCTCGTGACGCGGGAAGAACCCCCCCCCGCGAGGACTTCTACATGGTCAAGTGGGCCGCCCCGTACAGCGCCGTGGACTATGCGAGCACCGAGGTGGGGTGCCCTGGGGCCCCAGGGTGCACCTGGGAGCCGGACGAGCGCCGCGCTCAGACGGTGGAGGAGGAGGAGGAGGAGGAGGAGGAGGAGGAGGAGGAGGAGGAGGAGGAGGGGGAGGAGGAGGAGGAGGAGGAGGAGGAGGAGGAGGAGGGGGAGGGCACCCACCCCCAGGCGACTGGGGTCGTCGGGTTCTGGCTGGGCTGCAGAAGCGCCGAGGTTTGCGGAATTGTCGCACCACCGGCCTTGATTTCTGGGCACTGCCTTGAGGGTGTTGTTGTACCCTGTGGGCCATAGCGCGCGTTACGCCCCCTCCCCTCCCCCTCCCCCCTCCCCTCCCACCCCCCATGACGTAGCGCTCCCCCTATTACTGCGTCGCTGGCACTGCCGCGTCTGGCACCACAGTCTGGGGGGAAGGGGGGGGGGGCGCTACGTTATGCCCCCTCCCGTCCCACCCACCCCTCCCCCCGCCCATAACGCCCGTGATGGCCGCGAATACAGTGGAGACCCATACCAAGAAACACCCTGCTTGCCTCTAGGGTACCTTGGATTTCTTCAGTTTCGATGGTTTTGATATGGAAGCCGTGACGTACCCACACCAAAAATCAATGGACGCCTTGGGGTCCCAGGGTTAGGTTTCTTGTGGAGGGTTTCTTGTGGTCGGGCCCCTACTGGAAAACCTGCGCCCTTTTTGAGTGCAAGCGCTGTGGGGCAGGACTAGGGGAACGAAGAATGACATGAACATAAAACTCGGAGGTCCGCGAGGATTTCTCGGATCCGCGAGGACACCGACCCTTTCGCTCCTGCGCCAGGACTTCTGGCTCGTGGCAGGTCGGCTCGTGTGGTGTTCGGGACCTGCCCTGCGGCCTCGCATCCTGATCGGCACCGCGCTGGCCAGCGCGCAGAATCACGGCCGACGGGGAGGACTCATCTTGCGGTCGGCTGTGATGCCGGGAGGAGAAGAAGGAGGAGGAGGAGGAGGACTTCGTCCCCTCCCTCCTCCCTTCCTCCCGACTCCCTCCTCCCTTCCCCCTTCCCTCCCCCCCTCCCTCCTCGCATCAGGTCAGCGAATGCTGTTTTCAATGTACCACTTGCCATAGCAGTGGGAATCAGCTCACCTTGCACGAATGGCTTCTGTTAGAGCACGTCGATGCGAGTCAGAAGTTAGCACACGCCCAGATGCGAAACCACGAAAGCGAATGCCGGTCGAGGGGCGAGGTAGGCGCAGGTGGAGGAAATGAGGGAATATTCCACTGCCGCTCGCCCCTCGGACTGTAGTCGAGTTGGGTGTTGTGTATGATAGTCCAGCACGCGCGACCAACCGACGAGTGAAGCGCCTTTGCAGCGGCAGCGACGGAGGACAAACCTGTGTTGTCTACAGCATCTCGGCTCATGCGGACACATATGCAAATCGATGATTGCTTTGGTGCGTGCGTTCACGGCTGCGCTTGAACCAGACCTCAAAGCACAATTCATGCGCTTCACGAATATGTTGTGTGTTATAATTGTTTCTCCCTCCAGTGTTACATGTCTGTGCATCTGTGTCAAACGAGGCGTCTGCTCTGGAGCGTTGCCCCCGATCAGGTCTCGTGGAGCTTTCATTTGGGCCGCCTTGGGGAGGGTGTCCTGAGCTCCTGTGAGGCAGTCTTGGGTTTTTTGCGGGCTCTCTTGGGCCGTTTTGGGGCCCTCTTGGCCGTCTGAGGGATCTCTTGGGGCCGTCGAGGGGCCCTCTTAGGTCTTTGTTTTTTTCCAGCGGCCCTCTGGGGTCAGCTTGGGGCCGTCTTGGGCCGTCCAGGGGCCGTCTTGCGCCATCTTGCGGCCGTCTTGGAGGCCTCTTGAGCTAACTCGAAGCTCTTTTGGGACGTCTTGGGGCTATCTTGAAAGGATTCTTGGGCCGTCTTGAGCTGACGGACGCCCGAGAAGGCGAGACTGCTGACACCAGCAAGCACATTGAAGGCAAATCAGTGGGTCTGACTTCTTCGGGCCTTGCTGGGGGGTCCTCCTGGGGGCGTCTTGGGCTGTCCTGAGGCGATCCATGGTTGTGCAAGTCGATGAATAGAGAGGAAGCATGTTGCCACATATTTTCCAGATGTCTAAAACGTGTGTCAAACATGTCTTAAGCATTTGAATACATGTGTTAGAGTGCCCATTGTCGTGGCATCCGCAAGGCTACATATTGGGCCGTCTTGGAGGCACGCTGGGTCACCTTAGCGGCTTGGGCGGTTTGCCGGGGCGGCCTCCCCCGTGCCTCCTCTGCCTCTCCCCCCCCATGCCACTCTCCTCCTCCTCCTCCTCCTCCTCCTCCTCCTCCTCCTCCTCCTCCTCCTCTTTCCTCCTCCTCCCTCTCCTCCTCCTTCTGTTCCTCCTCCTCCTCCTCCTCCTCCTCCTCCTCCTCCTGTTCCTCCTCCTGTTCCGCCTCCTCCTCCTCCTCCTCCTCCTCCTCCTGTTCCGCCTCCTTGTCCACTTGGTTGGCCGGGGCGGCACCCTGGACGCCTAGGAGAGTGCCGGGGCGGCGTCGGGCCGCGCAGGGCGCCTCGGGAGGGGGGAGCATACCAATGGGCGTCCTGGGGTCTGTGGAAGATTTCTTGTGGCCGAGCTCCCACCGTATCAGACAGCGCTTGGCATCGTGCCACGCCTCAGCGTGCCAAGGGGGGCACGGCGGCGGACATGCGCACAGCACGAGGAGCTCTCGCGCGCCAGTGCTGGGAGCCAACTTCCAAGTCGCGTTTTCCAAAGGGCCAGGCCGCCCTGCCCCCATGCAGCCATTTTGCGGAGCCCGCTCCCGACGCGACCCCGTGGCCCTGCCGCCCGCCCCCGCACCCCCCGCGCCCCTGGTCGCCCCGACCGCCCCGCTTCCCCGCACGGCGCCTCGCCGCGGTCCCGCCCTGGCGCTGCCAGCCTCCCCACCTCAGATGCTTTTCGGGCCCCCCAAACGGGGCGGTAACCACATCGTGTGGTGAGTCGGTGGGGATTTGGGGTCACCGCACGGTTTTGGGACCCGGGTCGTTTTCCGAGGACGTCTCGGGCAATTGGGGCATCCGAGGTCCCCAAACCGTGTGTTGACGGACCGTGCGGTGAGGTCTTGGGGGATTTCGGGGTCACCGCATGGTCTGTCACCGCACCGTTTCGGGACTCTAAAGCTTTGCTGGATTTTTTCCAGGACGGGGCCCCCAAAGCTGGGGACCAGACGCGCCGACACGGAGGCATGGAGACCGTCCTTCGTCCCTCATCGGTCTCTGTTGGTCCGGGGCCCGGCGAGGGCCCCGAGACGCCGCCGACGACGACGCAAGGCCTCAGTCCCCGCTTGTTCAACGCGCTGGAGGCCTGGGCCCCTCTACCAGCCAGCCCCGCTCCTCGTCTCTCGACTGCCACCGCCCCTCCTCGTCCTCCTCCTCCCTCCTCCCTCCACCCTCATCCCTCCTCCCTCCTCCCTCCTCCTCCTCCTCCTCCTCCTCCTCCTCCTCCTGGTCCTCCCTCCTCCTCCTGGTCCTCCCTCCTCCTCCTCTTCATCCTGGTCCTCCCTCCTTTTCCTCCTCCGCCTCCCCCCCGGGCCCGGCCATGTCGTTGTCGAGGGGCACGAACCGCACCCTTCAAGAAGCCTCTCACGTCGTACCCATCGGGTCGCTTTGCGAACCCAATCGTGAGGAATCACGCGTCATGCAATTTTCGAGCGGCGCCGCCCCCCCGCCCCGCCACGAAGCCCCCCTTCGCGGGCAGACCCCGCGGCGTCCACCCTCAGCGAAGCCCGCGAACTGCTCCGCGCCGATTTGTTGTTGTTGTTGTTGTTGTTGTTGTTGTTGTTGTTGTTGTTGTTGTTGTTGTTGTGGTTGTTGTGGTTGTTGTTGTTGGTGTTGTTGGTGTTGTTGGTGTTGTTTGTTGTTGTTGGTGGTGTTGTTGTTGTTGTTGTTGTTGTTGCTGCTGCTGTTGTTGTTGTGGTTGTGGTTGTGGTTGTTGCTGTTGTTATTGTTGTTGTTGATGCTGTTGTTGCTGCTGCTGTTGTTGTTGGTGGTGTTGGCGTTGTTTGTTGTTGTTGTTGTTGGTGGTGGTGGTGGTGTTGGTGTTGTTGTTGCTGTTGTTGCTGCTGTTGTTGTGGTTGTTGTTGTGGTTGGTGTTGTTGGTGTTGTTGGTGTTGTTTGTTGTTGTTGGTGGTGGTGTTGGTGTTGTTGTTTGTTGCTGTTGATGTTGCTGCGGTTGCTGCTGCTGTTGTTGTTGTGGTTGTGGTTGGTGTTGTTGTTGTTACTGGTGTTGTTGTTTTTTGTTGTTGTTGTTGCTGCTGTTGTTGTTGGTGGTGTTGGTGTTGTTTGTTGTTGTTGTTGTTGGTGGTGGTGGTGCTGTTGAACATTATTTATTCTAAAGAATAATTATTGTTGGGCCCCCTGGTGCGCGCCCCCCCTGCGCCGCCTAGGCCGCAGCTACATTTTCATCATTTTCGTGAGGAAGCCTCAGAAAAGAGGGTGTGTACAGGATCCGGTTGTTTTGTTGTAATCCGCTTTCCCTTGCAAAAAACAATAGAAAATGACATTTCTTGTTCTAATATAATCAAATTTCAAGAATCCCTTGCAAAAAATAAGGTAAAGTGGACATTCGCGCGCGCAAGACGAAATCCTTCCAAAACCTTAGTGTTCGCAGCGATTTTAACATAAAAACATCAAAAAACCAATGGTTTTTCAACAAAAAATGTCAAAATCTCATCCCGCGCGCTCTTGCGGATTCGTAGGAAACCCAACACTTTTTAAACATTTCTGTCAAACGGGCTTTTGCGAGCAACTTTTTCGAACTTCTGCGACAACGGTTGCGCACCTGCCAGGGCCATCATCCCTGTCAAATAATACCATGCGGGACACATTCGTTTTTTCTTCGCGCGCGCACGCCGAAATCTCCAAAAACCATTGGGTTCTTAAGAATTTTAGCACCGCGCATCATAAAATCACACGAATCGCACCGTAGGTCCTCGAAAAACACCTGCACGACTTTTCAAAATTTCTACCCGCGCGCGCTGTCCGAATCCTAAAAAAACCAATGGTTTTCCAACATTTATGTTACA